TTCTTATATGAGTTATCTCTTCAGCTTTGAAAATGGCTGGGGCTTTTTTTTTTCAGGGGGAGTTTGCTACACATAAAAAGCCTTTTTTAATTGGAAAAAAGTAACATTTTCATTTTTCCCTCTGCAGATCACCTTTAGGCAGGCCATTTTGAATGTTTCAAAACAAAAAGTGTGTCAACTTACACTCTGGAACTGTTTATCGATTCCTCTGACATACTCTATCATGTTATACACATTATATGCAATTTGCTTCTTTTTAAGAGTAAGAGAAGCATTCCTAGTAAAGGCTAGTTCTGCACAGCAGCAGCCAACCTTCTCTTGACCTAGTTCAGGGAGACAAGCACAAGTTTGTAGTCTGGATCTGAATTTTGTCTTCAAGTTTCAAAGTGAACAAAAAACTGGGCACCGGAAGAGGCAAACGCGAGTGTAAAGGTTAAGTATTACCTACATAAGGGCATATGTTTCCAATGATAATGCTCAACTTAAATTAATAGAAATATTACTTACAAGTTTGAAGCATGGATTCTGTCTTCCGTATGCAATTTACTGCTGTTATAAAAACATGCCTCCATGCTGTTCAAGCCATACAGTTCACACCGAAAGGGTATCATCTGCTTACGTTTTTGTTACCTAATGGTGTCGCATACAAAAACTAAGATTACTACAAACGAGGAAAAGCAACCTACTCTTTTCAGCTTGCTTATTTCCATCTGGCAGCACCTTGCTGTGCTTTGGTTCCTCTGTTTCTCCCATAGACCCAAGCTCCCTCTCCCTCCCCCCAGGGTTCCTTTAAATGAAGGAAAGAAAAAAAGATAGAGTTAAAAAACCAAAGGCAGTAGGCCATTCTACTTAAGAGTTTCAAAGGAAAATACTCAGTTGATTGACTCATGAGGATACGCACCCAGTCAAAGACAGCCCTTAGTATACTCACAAGTAAAACCATTCCATGTGGTGAGCAGGGAAGAGACTAGATGCCTTTCTCCCACCCATTTCTGTCTACTGGGTCCCTCTCCTGCAAGCAGCAGTCCAACAGACAAGAAAATAAGAAAACAGAACCATGGGAGTCCTTGATATCTTCCTCGATTTGAAAAAAATTGCTTCAGAGAACTCACACTGCAGCCACTTCCATCAGGCACTGCAAAAAGATGCTATGATCCCTAAAATAAAAAGTAGTATTTAAAGGCAAGAAAGGATATGAAAGACAGAAGTCAAAGATAAATGATGGATATAAAGGAGGAGAGCGCCAGATTTCGAATCACTGTTAGTTGCTGTGGAGAGTGATGCAGTGGAAGCAGGGGAGAAAATAAGTCTTTTCCAAGAAAATGCATCTGAACCACAAACCACCTTACTCTGCACCTTTCAGCTTCTAGCCCCAGGTTGCTGTCTGCTGGAGAGCAGGGAATCAGCTACCGAGTCTTAGTAAAGCAACTCATCTGAAAGTCTGCGTGCCACTTACGAGTAACAAAAAGAGCTTGGAGAAGAAAGGAGTGGGGAAAAAAACAACCCACCAATAAATTAATGCTCTATTTCTTTTTACACTCTTTAAATATATTTGAAAGGAATGGTTCCATTAATAAAAAAGAGAAGAGGGGCCCAAGGTTCACAATCTGACAAACAATAACCCACAGCACTTCATCCTGAGGGCTGCCTGATCCTCTTCAGTAAGGCTTAACAGAAGGAAAAAAGCACAAAGTAGAGGAAGGCACAAAGCTAATGAAGTAGAATGCTTTGCATGTTATTAATTTGCTCTTCATTTTTAGTTTACCTTCCACGTACTTGCTCCTTAAGTCAAAAAAGGATCTGCCTGAGGTCTGCTTGCAGTGATCTTAATTTATCATACCTGTACGTGTAGAGGCACAAAATTAGAAATATCTGACGAACTGTACTCTATCACAGGGAGAAAAACAGGTGCTCAAATAATTTAGCAGAACGATCTGTAAAAGCAAATAAGCCCAACTCTCTTCAATGAACTGTGTTTTCCTGCTAGGTTATGGATTTCTTTTGTACCAACTGACAGTGGTGTATTTCCATGCTACGTTTCAGAGGTTCATTGAAAAGAGCTACAAACAAATTCCAGCTGATCCCAGGCATCCTTCTGAAAGGGAGTCAAATTCCATGTTCCAAAAACTGGTTGCAGTATCCATGCAGCTTTTTGTTTGTTTGTTTTTTAAATGAGGAATTAAAGCTTCAGACACAGTGCATATTTTAAATTATTTATTTTAGTAGGAAAGATTTTTGAAACCTGTACTTAAATTCATTTAAACTAGCTTATGCAAACACACAATTTTCACACACACACACAATTAAGTATTAAAAAAGTTGAAGAAAAGAAAAGGCTAAAGGACAGCCAAACTGCACATCACTCAAAGAGATCATAGTGCAATCACTCTATCACTATAACGCCTCACATCAGCAGGGAATATTAAAAATGGCTTGTGTTTACTGTATGACAATCTTGATCCCCCTTCCCGTGATGGTTGGTCCTAATAGGATTATTACAAAAGATACGATTTCCCAGTGCTCTCCACACCTCGGTCTAGTATTTGAATGGATATCCATCTGTACACAAGGAGCTAGATGCTCTGTAAACAGGCACCCTAGAAACCTTTTCTTAGTGTTTAATAAATCAGTTAATACTGCTTTTCACTTTTTTCTGTGAACAGTCCTGGAACAGTAAGAACTACCTTCAGGAAACACATTTGGAGGTCAGAGACTACCAAAATAAAAAGAAACAATATGCTAATCAAGTACACAAAGGGAATGCACTTTAGGCATTCAAGAGCAAGATCAGGCAAACGGCCAGAACCATGCCACGATCTGCAGAAACTTCCATCTCATTACAGCCCTTTTCTTAGTGACCTCAAGAAAATTTGCCAGCTCTGTTCGGTAACATACATGGCTAAACTCAGTAATTTGTCTTTCTCCTTTGACCTAATGCCTTCTATTGCCTTGAAGATTCTTAGAAAGGATATGATTAATTTTCAAAGTTATCTGTCTCTTTCCAACGCCTCAATTATCAATGCTATAGTAAAACTGCTCTGCTTTTTATAAGGGTGCATCCCAGGAAAACAAAACAAACATTTAATAGCTTAAGAACACCACACGCTCTCTTTCATTTCTCCTTCAAAAGCTTACAAAGCCTTGCTACTGAAACAATCTCTAGCATTTGTTTCAGTGAAAGTCAGTACTCTCTACTTAGTGTTGGAACTGGAAATACAATATGCAAACCTACAAAACTGAGCTTATGGGATATTAAGCAGCAGCAAAATAGATTTATTCAAGCCTTCTCTTTCCCCAAACAATTTCCTCTGTAGTCACTTACTTTAAATTAACAAAAAGCTTGTAAGGAATACATCCTTTCACAGCTAAGCACTTCAATGTTTAAATCAAATAAAATGGGAGAGAGAAAAGCATGCTCATTTCAAGTAATACAAACTCTAAATTCATATGCTCTAGACCATGACTTGGACTACCCTTTTCAATTCTTCTTCTCCCCTGACAAAAAACCTCTATTTTAGGGACATACCAAATTAAAAATAAATTCATTTTAAAGAAGTCTGAGCTATTTTCGATAAAAGCTGTAAAAACCCAAGCTACTAAGCAGTGCTGCACTTTGCTAACGAGAGACCATCCAAATACAGAAAATACACCAAAGCAACGCAAGCCACAACTGTTTTATATTGTCCAAAACAACTAACAACTCCTGCAGAAACTTAATGATTGTGAGGAATGTCACCCCTTTCCCTATGTCAAGGGCATAATCAAAGTCTGCAGTTGTTGCGATACTCTCAGCACTGACACAACAGAATCGGTCTTCAGGCTGATAAGACGACACTGACCAAAGTCCTCTTTTAAGTCCATGCGCTCACCTCTCGACACATTAGAGATTGGAACGCTGGTTTTAAAAAGGATAACCTCTTCAAACTCAGTGCCCACTTGCACACGCTCTTTTAATTACAACTTTCCCAAGCCAATCACCTCATGTACAAGCCATTTTTAGAGTAAAAGGAAAGAAAGAGGGCAGTATCTAAATAACAACAAAACTTTAAAAACTTGACCTTGTACGGAGAACAAGCAATTAACTGATGTGATTTAGTACCAGCCCTGGCGCCTTGATGCTTATAACAGGCAGCACACTACAACCAGCCATGGAAAAAGATTAGAATCGCTAACGTTGGTGCGTTAGCACACAAAAAAGGACAAAAAGAAAGGGGAGAAAAATGCAACCGACAGAGCCAGAGAAAACAACGTCACACAATTTATCTTATCTTGATTTGGAAAAGATTTGCTTAAGCTAAACAAAAAGCACAAATTGAATTTGCTTTTTATCAAAAGGGACCTAGCCTCCTAGACTGCCTTAGTGGCACAAAAAAATACAATTACTTCAGCTGGAAGGGCAATTTCCTTTTAACAATTGTTATGTCTCCCATTAATAGGGGAGGACTGTATTGTTCCAAATACATAAATGCAGATAGAAGAGCCTGACACTGCAAGAAAAAATTAGAATAATTTACTTCCATTAAGGAAAAGGTAACTGATAAAAATCCTGCTGTATTCTTTTCTGCTCTCTTTTACTCCCTATATGTTTTCAAATATACACGCTAACATAAACACTTTGCTGGCAAAGTTCATATACTCTGCGGCTGAGTTGTGAGGAGGAAAGTTAATCAGCCGATTCCCCAAAACAGACATCGATTCTTCAAGCAAGAGGCTAAAACACTGTGCACAAATAGGGGGCTGCTTAACACGCAAGCTGCAGAGCTGACAAATAATGTCTGCCATTACGTTATTTTCCCGTTCAGATCTTTTAGTAGTATTTGATTTTTACAGTAAACAAAAAACCTGACTGTAACACCATTTCAAGGCTAGGTGTTAAAGCTCCTTCATTAACTGTTTAGTATTTATTCATTTAGCATTTATAAATGCTCTCACTTGCATCTAACTACTTAATGAAGCACAGTAACTTGAGCAGTGTTCATATGGTATGAAACGCCTGCAAAATTAAATACATGCCTGGGATGAGCTATGTTTCCTCAAATTATCAGATTTTTTCAAAGATATAACTCCTTATTTGCTTTCAAACAACACAGGCATAGAAGCCAAACTTGAAAAACCGAGCTAAAATTAAAAAGGATTAAGCTAGAAAGATAAAAGGTAGCAGTAAGCATTTAACTAGTAGCAAGAATAGCATAATGTATTTTAATGCATTTGCACCAGTTTTTTAAACCAGACATTCTCTGCTGCTCAATCTTTCCCAAGACTGATGGTTTAACTAATAAAAGTTGTTAGTAGCCTGCAGGTGATTAACACTTACATTTAAAGCACTGCTATGAAGACCTATTCTGAACGATTTTTGTTCCTATTCTTGTAATCAGGAAACTGTAAGGGGCATCTTTAATTTCAAAACCAACACATTATGAAAAAAGTGTCAAAAGATTAGCTGAACTAGTTCAGCAGTTATTGACAAGATAAAGACTTGCAGCAACACACTACAACATAAAGCGAAGAGAAACAGTCAACTGAGACAGTCTGGGTAACAGTCTTACCCGAACAACACGTACTCATTGCTGCCATTGTTTTCTTGGCTCTAGTTTTATTTATTAAAGAGGAACATTATTATGTTCTTTATGGTGTATATGACTTGTCTAATTCTTCCCAAAGCTTAACTGAGGCAGTTTTCCCTTAGGTGAGCAAACCATCACTCCTTCCTAAGGATCATCCATCTCCAAATATGTAACACTTCAGTATTTCTGTGTCCTGTAGGACTACTGGACTAAACGTGACATAAACCAGAGGGAAGCACTGAACTACTCATTGTAACCAAGGCCAATAATGTTTTCTGTGTTGTCATTATTCTCTCCAATTACTCTAATGAAACATTTTAAGAAAGAGAGTCAATCTGCCCCATGAAAAAAGGCGTATCTGAGGGTAGAAGAATAAAGATGGAGAGTAGGAAGCCCAAGAAGAAAGCTCGTAACAACAATTTGCTAGACGATTTGCGCAGCTTTTTCTCCACCATCCTCCTACCACAAAAACCTAACGCAAAACAGCTGGAAAAATACAAAAACCCACTAAGAAACATCCCCTTCTGATCTGGCTCTGTCTTTAGCAAAGCTGAGAGATGTCAGGCTGCGGCTCCCGGCTGCGTGTTTCCTTTCGCTAACAGAAGAACAGATACACTTATGCGGCAATGAACCTATCTTAGCTTATTTAAAAAATTCAAAATTCACAGGGCTATTATCCACAATGTTTAAAAAAGTACACACATGTTAAAAAACACTTAGCTGTTGAGAAGAAGCACACGTTAAGTAGTTTAAATGAAAGACCCAAACTGAAATTGTGCAAATTCTACTACAGTAACACTGCTGGCTATGAAGATGTTGTATTAACTACATACCCAACATGGGTTAATTTGGGAGACATGAGAACTGAAGACAAGAGAGCTTCAGCACAAGAAACCTCTTTCCAAAATACACGACTTCAGGATCAGAACAGACTATTCGTTGCCCACCAAAAAAATAAGAAATTGAAAGGGACACAAATGCATATGGTACTTCTGGTGCAATTCTAACAGAAATATCCTTCTACTGTTTTTTCCTCTACCAAGAGCCAATCCACAAGAACAACTCTTGGAAACATAAAACAGGCTATTACTATTTACTCCACATCACCAAGGGGTTCTTTCTTCTTGTTGTTTTGTTGTTGTTGTTTGTTTAATATGAGATTACATCATCCTCTTTTTTCCCCCCCCTTGAAATCAGAAATTTATCATTTCCATTAAGAGATTAATTTGACTCTGGAAAAATGAGAAAGTGAACTGACAGGTTTCTACTCCGCTGCAACAAATGAATTGTACGTTTTTCAAAATAATCACTACTACTAGAAACCTTTATTACATAGTCAGAGAACTCTGCCACAGACTGGTAGACAGTTTGTTTCTTTTCAAAAAGGAGCATCACGGTGGAGTCTGCAAGCTTACTTACGGCCACTAAACCACGATGTCAATGGAGCATTTACTACTTTTTCACAAACTAGAAGTTCCGATACGAGATTTGGATTTTGGACAATGTTTCCTGGCTTTAAAAAAAGATCATATTTCTGAAGATTAAATAAAGACTAACCATCTAAGAAATTCTATCCGACTTCAAGGAAATTCAAATAAAGCAAGAACTAAATTCTTATGCATAAAACACACATGGTACAGTGTGGCTCCCTTTTTACAATCAGAATGTTTTTCTGAGAGTAATTTCAGTGACCAAGAATCATTTCTGTCAAGAATGGAATACTGATAGTCCCACATCTTTTCTTTAAGTTATTCCATGCTCAATTAAATTATGTACTTTCCTGAAGATCCAAACAGCTTCTGTACATAAAAGGTCTGCTCTAGGCCGTGTTATCAATAATGCACAATGTCATCTATTCTGACTAAGACAGATAATAAAACCAGTAATTGCAAAATGAGAACATGAAAGCTTGAAATTGTGCCTCTATCATTTTAAAATGTAGGCCTTTTAAGTGATATTATGACACATCTTACACTGACAGTGTTCCCTAGCTGGTAATTAATAGATACCCATCTAGAGTAGAGTATAGAGAAGTAAAACGCCTCAGTGAACTACAGCAAGGTGTTGCTTTTTGTCAGGGAAGCTTCATGTGTAGAAGCGTGAAAGGCGTAGAAATAAAAAGGGATGAAAACGCTCAGTTCTGACCCAACAATGCTTTCAGACGTCTCTTTCACACACACCGGTCACCCAAAACACGTGAACTACGTTTTAACCAGGAATTAGGTAACAACGTACCAAAAAAGTTTTTGGTGTCTAAGTGCTCAGCCTTTGTGCCACTTGCCGGGACTACGGCTCCCATACAGTACTAAGGTTTGCAAGCTTACTATTTTAAAGCTGCATTTGTTACAATTCTCATACTCTTAGGTCTGACAGAAATGATGCTGCTCCAGGTTACGAGTGCCTGGGGAAAGCTCCCATTGAGAACTCCTGGTATAGTCTGAACAACATCTCTAGAATGCGTAGTACCTCTTTTACCTGGTTCAAACCCAGCTTTTGATACAACCCTTCAACATCAATTTTCTTGTTTTCTGAAGAATACCTAAAAAGGTGAGTTATTTTTCAAAATTAGTATAAAGTTAAAAGAAACTCAAACTAGCTACAATCTATTTAACTCAAGCACAGCACCGCCAGAAGTTTCACACGCACTATTTGGTGTTTCACGTTGGTTGTCCTTTCACTCTTTAAGGCAGTGGTTTCCACAGGTCAGTTCAGAGAATATTATGAAGCATGGTCCACGGCAATTCATGTTGCAACTCCATTTTTTCCTTAGAGGACTTACTCCCCAACCATTAGTGGTTTGTTCAGGGCTCCAGAGTTCAGAGATCGAGTTGAAAGGCTCCGTTCTGGCACAGAATACAGCTGGCACATTTTTCATCAGGACCTCATTCTCAATTGTGAGATGGTTCAAATAGTTCTCTTTTATTTTTGTTTTGAATTAGCCTATTATTCAAAAGTCATCAAGTTGGCAGGAACCTGAAAGTAAAAATATAAGTAACAGATGACGTTATTTTGTATCGTAGCTTTTCACATTCCACTGCTTCACAGACTATTCACCTGCTTACATGCACATTGCAGCATTCATTCTGTCTCAGAAAAAAGGGAAAAATGTATAGCCAAAACATTAACCTAGAGCATGGTTTGTGATTTTATCATATGGCCTTAGATCTCGTCTTGTTAATTTTGATGAAATTTATGGCTTCAGCTGTAGATGAAGTGACATTAACATGATCGATCCTAGGGCCGAGCTCCCTTGACTCCCAGCTACGCAGTCCCAGTTACAGGTTTCTTAGCACACAGGTCAGGGTGCCTGAGAAGCTCAAACAAAATACAACACCTAATTTTGTGAAAGAGTTCCCCAAATAACGAAGGGAAGAGCAATTCCTTCTTTTTTAATCGTTAGAAAAATGGAAGCACTGAGGACAGGGCTGTCAAAATTGCTGAATAAACGTAGGTCAAAAGCAAGTTAGCACTTTCCTCCCAACCGAGGATGTCATTTTCTGAACATTTCTCTCCTCCACCTCCACCCCAACAGAGGAGGGACAAATTTTGGAACAAGCTTCCCATTTTATAACCTAAGTTGATTTAAATGAGTGCGAGAGTTTTTGATGCATCTATATCATTTTTACAATACGAATCTCTAGAGATGTGCTGCCTTTTGGTATCAATAAATCTTTACTCTGTGCTAGACTGAACTTACAGATCTGAAAAGTCTTTCCCCTACAAATGATTGATGCAGGTCCTCCAGTATTTTTGAGATTAATTTACAAAAACAAGGCATGTAAACACTTCCCTAGGCTTTTTCCATAGAAAATCTGAATGTCTGTCGCAAACATCACTCCCTTTTATGAATATTAAAGCTATTTTGCATTACAACAGTTTACATTCCTTTTGTCTACGGAGAATTTGCACAACAGCAACAACTCTCCTTTACCCAGGTTATTAAAGAGCCATTGCATTCCAGATGACTGCCAATAACTAGCCAGATTTGTCATACTTGAAGTATTTCTTGCCTACATTTGTTATTCACCTGCAGGAGGAAGAATGGCCAGCCGGGCCACCACTGAATTTTTTTTTTTGGTTAAAAAGATTTCCAATATTATTCAGCTTGTTAGGTGCCAATACTCTATCGAATGCATGTTTAAACATCCATCCTTTCTTATGCAATCGTTCTCTCAATAACAAAACAACATGTTCCATTTTCAACAGTACCATAAGGTATCTCTCTAGGGAAAGTACTGGTTAGGAGTCAAATCATGATAAAGACAAAAATTAAAAAGATCATTTTTACTCTTTTTAGCTTATATGAACCAACCTATACTACATAACATTTGTGTGAAGCACTGCTTCTCCTATGGGAGGCCCTACGCATTAATGAGGTACATAACGTACAACTATGCTGCAAGAAACCATATGGTATAACTACATTCAATTTTTCCATAAAACAGTAAGCGTGCAACAAACTATGGTGGCAGGGCTTTGGGCCTTCTAGCAGCAGTCATTTTATTCATGACTCCCTTCTTTTCTGTCAAAATAAACACACAAAAGACTTCACCTTGTTGGCTTCTTTTCCCACAGGTGCCCCCCCCGCCCCAGATCCTTAGGCTTGCTGCTTTAGAACAAGTTAGGAGCTGTATGCTTTAAGCAAGTTTGCATTACAGAGTGTTGTTAAGCCTTATTGAATAAAAGCTTTCCTCAGAGGGCAGTTTGAGGGCCTGCCTGGCAGTCAGCACCTCCTGGCAAACTCTATTGCCGCTATTTGCTACTATTCCCATCTTTTCCAGCCAGGAACACAATTTCCTCTCCTTTCCAGTGTCTCAGGTACTTTTTCAAGGGAGCTTCTACAACCCTCCTGACTCCTTAGACTTCTCTCGGAAGCAGAAACGAGCAAGAACGTGCAGAGTGATCTGGGAAGATCCTTTTGTTTCCCCTTCCATTTTAAGCACAGCCACATAGAAGCAAGGCAACTGAAATTCAGTGGTTCTTTTGCTTGGGGAAATCAACACACATGTGCAAAGGAGGAGGAAGATTTCAGGAAGACAAAACAGTGACTTAAGGAGGTGGCATTTTTACAGATGTGAAAGAGTCATGAAGAATTTATAAGGAAATAGGAGAATTAATAAGGGTTGGAGTGGGAATCTTTTTGACCCACAGAAAATTCTACCTTTGCTTTCAAAGTTTGTCAAATTATTCAGGACTAAAATATGTTTCTACATTTTAGAAATACATAAGAACAGGCATGACCAAGACCTGACAGAATGGCACTATGGATAGCTATCTGGGACTGATACTGAATGATCTGTACAGCTGTCTGATATAGCTTACAACATTTATATACAACCGCAAAATAGCCTTTTTAAAACGGGCAATGATAAAACTGTTGCCATTGGGAGAGAAATTTTAGAGTGCTCCTTCCATTTCCCAAACTGCCCAATTGCTTTAAATTAGCCTCAAGATAGACTGAAGATCTTCATTGTCACAGAAGCTCTGAGGACTTGATTACAAAAAGGCAAACCAATAAGCATGTGAAATCAATGCATAGACTGGTCAGTCCTCTGTTTCCCATACAAAGCAATTACTCAGAGTTCAGTCATCTCGAGCATGTGCCAGCACTGAGCTCTTAGCAGGCCATACTTGTTTCAACACATTGCTCTCACCTGTTGTCTGTTGCTTTGGCAGGCAGCACTCAGGTGTTTAAACCAGAGCATTGCATTCATTCTGTTTCCAGCTTGAAACTTATATGAATTTCCTAAGTGAGAGAGTAGGAAAAAAACTGATAAAGAAATACCAACAATACAAACTTAAATTCTATCTATATCCAAATAAATCTAAATTGAAACACTATCAAAGTATTTAATAGCAAAAGGTTCACAGAAGTCGCACGTATGCCAGTCAAAGGGTAAAGTTAAACAAATGTTTGACCTAGTGCAGGAGAAGTCTCAGCTCATGAAGGACTGCCTTCCTCCAAACATTCTAGATTTCAACTAAGACTAGTGTCAACTAGAAGAAAACATTTCTCAGAACCATACAACTAAGATGTTTTTGCTCAATGTATTTATTCCAATTTTAGTATATCATTTAATTATATATAGTATTAAGTACAATATAGGATTGAAATGCACTCTAGAAAGCCACCTTTGAAAATATTTTAAAATTATTTCTAATCATATTGACATTTTTCAGACCAATATTTTCAGTATCTAGTGTTATGCAACGCTTGACTGCATGCCTGGACCCTGAAAGGCCAAGTGTTACAAAAGGGTTTCGGACTGCTGTTGTTGATGTTAGGCTGACAAGCATTCATCATTTACATGACTGTATCTGTGTCCACAGGATAGACAATCAAAAACAAAAGAAATTAAAATACACTGGGACTGAAAGCAAACAAAGTAATGAATAATGTTAAGCAACTTCAGCAGAACTGCTTTTGATGTTCTTTTTGCTTGTTTTGAAGTGCTACGGAAAAACAACAGTTTCTTCACTCATAGTTTTAAACTGAAACCAGAGCTCTATGTTGGAATAAAGGGAATCATTTTTTCCTTTTCAGTTCTTTTTCATCATTTTTTTTTTCTTTGGCTTCTCCCTCCGCAAAATAGTCAAGTTTTAATGTTTTTCTTGGTAAGAGTGCTGCATTGGAATAGACGTTTTGCTTTGCATTTTGGTTTTTTTTTTTGCAGAGAATTGGGACTGTTTGAGCACCTAGTCTTCACACTATTGAATTTTTTTTTAATCACTTCATGTACGTCAAAATGTCACTGAATGGTCTAAATATAGTTTAAAAGAATCCAGACAAATACTTACTTAGAATAAAAAAAAATGTGAGTAGAACTGTTAGTCAGTCTGCAGAGTTCTTAAAACTACAGAGTCTCTATAACTGTTCCCATAACATACTGGAGGTAAACATGACAGGTTGGAGAGCAGTTGAAGAACCAAAGCTAATATCCCTTCCAGATTTCATTATTAGTTGCTTTTGAACACCTCCGCAAGGTAAGTGCTTGTTCTGGGAACCGCTGCAGTCTTGATGTTGACATTACTTACCCTTCTCAGAATCGGTCAACAAAAAGAGATCTGGATGTTCAGGGTCATCTGCCATCATCACCATCCAGCCTACCACTGACACATTCTTACTTGGTGTGGATTTGAACTGAAAATACAAGCAGAGACATGAACTACTGTAAAATAAAAAGCTTCAACCCAACTGACAGCACTGCGCATAACAAATATTCCAAAAGGTTTTTTTTCCTCTCAATATCACTGTTACAGACATAGAATAACGTTATTAAATTCAGTGAAAGCATAGCACTTCATAAAATTAAGGCAGGCTATGAGTTCTACATGGAATTAGCGAAAACAGAAAATTTGCCCCAATGAATGAAATTCAAGAAAAATTAAAGATGTTTGTTGACAAACATCTGAACTGCATTATATGAACATAACAGCATTCCTCACCACATTACTGCACACGTGCGGGCATCATAGTAAAAAAAAAAAAAAATGCATTAACAGAACACTCAGGCTGCAAAGCTAAACTCTATTTGTTAACAAACAAGCAGTAAGCCTGTCTGTGCGGTGACTGCTCAAAGTTAACATGCAATATTGATCATAATAGTCTGTAGTTACACACAGACCGAGTCCTGTGGACAAGATAACAACTGTGTAATTAAATATTACGACTTGATAAATGAAATGCATCAAATGAGGGGGAATATTTGATAAACATGTACACAGAATATAATGTGCTCACTTATTGACAGCACATTAAAAATGAAGGGTTTTTCCTGTTCAGTGTGTTACTGGTATTTTGACATATTATTCACACCACTTCTTCCAAGCACAGTAGCTGTCTCCCCTACACTAGTTTCTCTCTTGACAGCTCCTCGGTTCCCACAGCTTTTCATTTACCCGGTCAATATTATTTTCTACTTCTCAGGCTTCTCATCTGAGTTCCAGGCTGCTCGTCCATTAAATCCAACTCATTTCCAACTCACAAGTTTTCTTCTCCCTAGACTCTTAGGCCTATTAGCAGACCATCACAATGCACCTCTCACTACTTGCTCAGATAGTTCTGTCATCTCTCCAACATCTAACTCGGTCTCTCTCAGGTCTTTAGCTGCCAGATCTCTGCTTGCCACATTCATGTCTCCTTCGCAGGCTTTTCATTCAATCTGAGCGTTCCTACCTTCTGTAGCGCTTTACCTCACTTTTGAGCCCAGAAGGACCAACTCTGCTACATCCTGTTCCTTATCAAATGCATTTTCCTCCTGTCTTGTGAAATTCTACTCTTCAGTGACTTATCTTTAATTACTTCTTATTAATCTTTTAGAAATCATAAAGCTAAAACATCTTTTTATCATTTTAGAAATAACAGCGCTTTACTGTTACAAGTCTGATAAAAAGGGAACACCAGCCAGAGGAACCATTATCGCCAATTAGTTTGAGGATATCAGGAACAAAATAAGAGTTTAAAACAAATTTTCTCTGCAAGGCAATAAAATTGTTTCATCAACAGAACACTATATTGCCAGTTTAATGTCAGTCTTTCCAATCTATACCATACATTAACTGGAGACTTTAAACGTCTAAGAACGTTTAACTGTCTGGGAGTTACGCAGGAGGCTATGTTTTAAAGCTCAGTCTAACATATGAACAAACTTTAAATGAACAAATGTTAGGCCAATATTTGAAAAACAAAGTATCTTAACCAAGTTCAAAATGATTTAACAGTCCAGTCTCTCCAAACCTTATAAGCTTCTGAACGCATCACTTGCATGCTGTCATCTCTCTGTTGCTACAGCTACGCTTGCAGGAAACATTCCATTCCGAGTTCCTACCAGCCACGTTTAGCTCAAATTTTCATAACGTCAATGGAAATACTGAGGGGATGTTTGTATGGATAACTTAAGTGTAAAAGTGACGACTGTCTGTTCTTAGGAAAGACCTGTCTGCCAAACTTCAAAATGCATGGCCGTTTTTGGTATCACCACGGACAAAATTGTGGGGAAAGACCATTCCTCGTAAAACCTGCAGAACCACATCTACTAAAAAGTCTTAAGTCATTCAACTGCCTTTAGAAGATAGACAAATTTGGTAACACCTCAGAAGAAAAATGACACTTTAAAAGAAATAAGTTAAAGCTGCATCAGATAACATTACATGAAGAAAGTGAGGGCTGAATAACATGAATATTAATTCTTTCCAAACAGAAATTCAAATTTCTTTGAAGAATAATTTATCAATGCCTTGCAGAGAGCAATGAAGTATGTTAAGGAAGTTCTATCTGAAAGAAGGGATACAGACTGGAAAAGGAATAAAATAAGGAGATTGCTCAGGAGTTTTTGTCATCTTTTTTGAGAGTGAAAAGTATACATCATGGACTTGCTGTGGACCTACTGAAGACATCGCCTTCAAAAATAAGATGACTTACATTGATAATTGATCAGCAAAATACAAACTTCAAATAACTAGTAATGCTATTGTAAGGCTTTTTTTCTTTTTTCTTTTTTTCTTTTTTTAAATAGATGTGGAAATTTCAGTCCCAAAGAGGTTTTCATGGGTTACAGATTAGCACTGTAGCTCCTGAATTGCACTCATATTTTTAGAAAGTTTCATGAAAATGAAAATAAATGACATATAACCAAGGTGGCTAAGAGCAAATACATGATGCTTGCCTTTAAAAAAAAAAAAAAAAAAAATCACCACTGCAAGACTTTTAAAAACTTTCAGAACAATTAGTTAATCATGGTGCTTTCCCAGGAAGTAAAAGGGTTCACACTGGGGAAGAGCTTCCTGCCAGCATCAACCTATCATTGCTTGAAATGCTTGTCCGTTTTCCATCCATTTGCACTGCTGAATTTGTATTCTGTGTTTACATAGTCCCCCAAGGCAGTTCATTCTCCACTGATGCATTAGAGCCTTGCTAACAGCAAGTCTGCTTTGTTCACTTGAAGGGAATGAAAGCTCCATTGTAATTTAATGTTTCTGGTTCCTCTTTGCCTTTTCATACAGGCCCCTGGAATGACACTGTCTTATTATACATATAGAAAGCTACACAGCTCTGGTGCATCACATAACTAGCTTTTTTTTTTTTTTTTTGTTCTGAGCTCAAAAGCATTTATACATAGATCTTTGAATCAAGAACTCTGAATTAATTTGTGAATAGACTTTTCACTCCAACCTCTTGGCACTTAGAGTTCTCCTCCTCCTCCTCATCTCCTGTCAGGATTTTACAACTTTCTAATATTCAAGTCGTTCTCTCAGTGGCTGAACCTACCTCCTAGAACGACAGCATTCTTAATCAGTGCATTCCAGTGAAAGTGCCTGAGCAACAACTACCAAGTTCTTTAGGGCTCCAGTAAATGGCTACAATTCTGTATACAATATGTAGAGGAAAGGCTTGGAATGAACAAAGGTTCTCTTGAGAGCGAAGGCTCAAAGTCTCTGTTGCTTTCCCAAATACCTACGAACACGGAAAAATCTTTTAAGTATGCTACATTGTCACAGAAATTTTTCTATCCCAGTTCTTATGAACAGCTTTATTGGTGCATTCTCATTTTTCAAGGAAAATGCTTTTCTCTAAGACTACTTCTAACATGGCTATTTTCACTATTGACCTTTTCTAAAGGTGCAGAAGTGCTTTTTTTTTTTAAAATCATAAAATGGCACCCACAGCAGGCATCTAACATAAGAGATAAAACCTTAAGCGTTCTACACACGTTCATCTGAGATTCTCCTGTACCTCATCTCTGAGATTGAAAAGTTCACATACTCATTACAGACAATTTTTCATTACTGCTTTAATAACTGAAACCTGTATGCTACTTAACATACAAAGCTCAATCCATACAGCAGTCCTCCCTAGTGGGTACAACACAAGAATCAACCAACCTACCCACACTGAAGCTTATCCAAAGCTAACAAAACTTGTCACATCCAGGTATGTGCAGCATCCTCTTCCTTTGGAAGAGTATCATGTCTAGAATGCGTTTAAGCGCTCTGTCTTTCACCACAGGCATGAGAAGAACTGGCTTGCCTGTGTCTAAAAGGGAGGGGATTTCTTGCCCTTTTTGTTGGATTACACAGGGATTTTTATGAAGTAATTTTCCAAAGAGGTTGGCTATTATAGCTTGGAAGACCTTCCAGTGCCTGCACATTCCAAGTCCTCAGTCTCAGCTGCCTGAAGCAATAGCAGCAGAGAACAGCCAAATGCATGCCTATAATCAAGACAGTTATTTACCACGAGAGCTCTAGCCAGGAAACTTTATATAGCACAGACCGACTTTGTTGTTTCCAGCGTTCCTTTCCATGTCACCGAGGCCTTGAGAAAAGAAGTTGCAGAGAGATTTTTTTCTACATGGCTGTAGACGATGTCGGGAATATTTTAGATAAAGGGAACCCCACATAACCGTTGCCCACCTACGGTTTATTCTCCCTTGATTAATCTTCCATTCTGAAGATTGCAACCAAGTATAAACTGAAGCATGACAAATCGTCATCATGAACTCCAGAACAAAAGCTGAGGCTTTGGTACAATAGCCCTGTAGTGACATGGATGGAAATCAAAATCACCAATGAAAGCACAAAAAGGACTACATGGGCAGACTAACTGAACAAAGTTATTGAGCACCTATCATTAGGCTGTGTAATAAACCGAAGCCTCTCCTCCTGTTCCCCCATTCTCGGTCTCTCACAGGGGTTACCAGGGTATCTTCCACCTTAATTCCAGCATAAAGATTATACTCTGGGTGATAACCACCTTTGGAGCAGATGGCTATTCACTGTGAACTATTTACTTAATTAACAGACTATCCAAACCGTAGCTAATAGGAATTGCATTATTTTAATCATCATCTAGGAAACCAAATCACAGGCCAGGATGTCACACCATTCTTCGTATATAGAAGTGGAAAAAAAAGTTCACTGCCTTAAAGAGCTAAAAGCAAGACATCAGCTGCACATAGACAAATCCAAGGCTGTGCTGGATAGTTCAGTCCAATTCTCTAGAAACAAGTGTTAAAACAAATCTGCTCTAGCAGGCATTGCTCTTTACTACCGCTGCTCCACCGACCGTCCCTTTTCCTGGGAACTTCACTGCTCAGACTCAGCTCAGCATTCATCACCATCAGAAGCCTGCCCATACTATAGATTTTAAGGTCTCCTAGCCTCTATCTGTAAACTTGGTTATTAGTCTGCTGGCATATCCTTGAACAAATAAATAGAAGGATGCGAAACGTTCTTAGAGATGTTTAGCTTGCTAAGCACTTGTCTCAATTCACCAGCAGTTAGGTTCTAGATAGCGCAACAAATCATAGTGATTTGGAGGATAAGAGTCAATTTAACGAAAATGATTTTTCAAATTCAGAAAATGATTTCCGAAAGAGCAATCTAAATGGATATGATTCCGTTGTCAAGATCAAAGTAAAGGCTTCTGTACTAACAGAGACTCAAGACGATCAGATACCAGACCCGAATTTTTACATTTGTTATTTTTACTACATTTACTTTTCCTAAAGAAAGAAAAAAACCATTTAAATGATTAAAACTGTTATTCTGAAGGAAATGTATAAGCAAACAGATCATATAAAATAAGAAGTGTGATATACTTAATTCCCCAACAGTAAAATTACCAGCCATGCAATTTTTTTTTTTTTTTTTTTTTTTGAAGTTCTTCGTATTTTAGATTTTTAAGAATATTTTCACACAATCACAGAATCATTGTGGTTGGAATGGACATCTGGAGACCCATCTGGTCCAACCCCCTTGGCTCAAGCCGGGTCACTTAGAGCAGGTCGCCCAGAAACACATCCAGTCAGGCTTTGAATATCTCTAAGACTCCAGGAGCCTCTCTGGGCAACACGTTCCAATGTTTAACCACCCTTAGAGTAAAGTGTTTTCTTAGGTTCAGATGGAACTTCCTGGGTCTCAGTTTGTGTCCATCACCTCTCATCCTGTCACTGGGCACCACTGAGTAGAATCTGGCTCCATCATCTTTACTCCCTCCCATCAGATATTTATAAACACTGACAACATCCCCCAACCCTTCATCCCCACCCCTGAGACTTCTCTTCTGCAGGCTAAATAGTCCCTGCTCTCTTGGCCTCAACTTATAGGGAAGATGCTCCAATCCTTTAATCATCTTTGTGGCCCTTCACTGAACTTGCTCCAGTAAATCCACTTCTTTCCTATAGCCCGGCCTGGGAGACCAGCACTGGACCCAGCACTCCAGACGTGGCCTCACCAGGGCTGAGTAGAGTGGAAGGATCACCTCCCTCAACCTGCTGGCAATACTCTGCCTAATGCCGCCCAGGATACCGTTGGCTGCTTTTGCCATGAGGACACGTGACTGGCTAATGGTCAACTTGTTATCTACCAGGACCCCCAGGTCCTTCTTGCCAACACTGCTTCCCAGACGGTTGGCCCCCAGCCTGTCCTCGTGCATGGGATTATTCCTCCCTGGAGCAGGACTTTGCAGGACTGAAAAAACTTCTGATTGAATAGGCTCAAGTATGGCAAAATCCTCCACCATTCAATACTTTGACAGAAGAAACAATGAGCAAGAGAGATTTACAGAATGCATATTCTGTTCTTAAAAGAAAAAAGGATAGTTTTTGCATAAAGCCTAAAGGCATCACATTAGCAACAGAAGCACAACGTCCGGCATTAGGAGAAATTTCTTTTCCATTACTCAATGTTTCCAGAGAAAACAAGCAATCAACTGTTGGTGACATAATGTCAGTGCTAGTTTTCTTCTGGTTGTTTCTTTTAATTTACTTTAACAGTTCAAATTTCCATAGTTCGCTTTTCTGCTTATAATAGCTTACAAGTCTGCTCTTTTCAACTACCTTTACGTCTAATGAGGCAGAGCACATCCCAAGTTTTTCACTGAGACTAGAGGCAAATGAATATAAACACATACACTTTTCTAGACACCCTGGAGACAGGATGCTTGGCTAGTAGGCCTTTGGTCTGGACCAGGATAGTCATTCTTAACTGACAGAACAAATTAAGCAGGATCAGTTTAGCTTTCACCTAAGTAACCAAAGCCAGCAGGGGTTAGGCAGATGGATGATGGTAAAGAAATTATGCAAGCCTTTCTACAATAACTAGGTATTATTAAACAACTTTGAATGGTAGCATATTGTTTCCTAATTAACTGCTTTCAATGAAAATGAAAAATATTCAATTTGTTCTGTAAATTAAGGCAACGCTATACCCAAGCTTTACACACAGAACAGAAAATTCAACTATCAAGAATTCTACTAAATCAGAAATCCCAAGCTCTGCCCTCTGAATACAAGAACGTTAGAATCGGGAAATAGCATTTTGTGCCAAAAAGAAATAAGATATTCCCCTTTCTAGGATTCCAGAGCACATCTCAGTTTCTAAAATTACATAACTTTATGCAAAGCAAATGTTCTTCAGTGACAGTTGTCATAAATTAAACTGAAACACTGGCCAAGGCAATTGCCTAGAATTAATGGTTACGGTAGAGAACGAACTCGCAAAAAGACCCAAGTATCTCACGTTTTATCCAGTTTCCTAGCAGAGAGAATCTGTGGCTCATCCTATTCCTTCACAACTAACCAGTGAAAAGAGAAGTGAACCATGCACAGCAAAACATCTCTAGAACATCTACAGAAATTCCTTTTATTACTTTCCCACATAAGCAAAGTATTTTTAGCCTTTTTTTTTTTAATAAAGTTGCAGTGAATGAGAGGAAAGCCAACATCATGTGATGAGCTGGCTCTGTGCAACATACAAAGCATTCTGTAGTCAGTAGTCGTTGACAGACTACAGAATTACACAGAAAAAGCAGAGTAGTCTAATTTTACCACATACACAAAAACAGCACATGTTCAATTTCCTACGTAGCGACTTCCCAGTCTTTTCACATCAATGCTTGTTTGGATTTCAAGTAGGAACGCTAAACTATTGCAACGCTTGGAGATCATCAAAAGATGCAACTTCCACCCTTAGAAAAGCAGGCAGACCCAAAGATACAGCTCCCTTTTTTCCAGACCAACAATTTCAGAGAGACCTATGGCATATGCAAAGCACATGTTCCTGGAGTAGCATGTAAGAGGATATGATATTTCCATTAAGCCACAGCCATACGAAGTGACAGATGGACTGGAAGACAGGATAGTGCTGACTAAAATCAAGCCAGTCCTAAACTACTCTCTCAGTGTTTACATTAGGAAAGGACATTTTAATTTTGGCAGATGTTACTGGAAGATGCTTATTTACATACATGTTTTCTCTCAGTAGCCTTCAGAGACTTTGCAGCATAGTAGAAGAGTTGAGTGCCACACAGCGCTGCCCAGTATTTTGTCCAAGATGCTACCTAGAGAGAGAAAACAGTAAAGAGACAAATAAGTGAAATGTTTCATATTATCGAGCTGTAAAATAATTGACAACATTCTGCAATAAAATGACAGCACTAACTGTCTAGCCAAGCCATCATTAATTTTTTCATTTCTGCTGTTTCTCATTAAGGCTTATATAGGCCCATAAATACATTAAAAATGTAGAAAGCAAAGAGAGCATGTGCCTTTCCTCAGTAATTTAGGAAAAAATTTTTGTCTCTTTTACTTTGTGTCCTTTATGGAACACTTCATTGAGCTAGAATACATCTATCCCTTTTCTTTTTCATTGTATATACTGCCATAAAGTGTACCCCACTGTCAAGACTTAAAATATGTATTCTGATTTACAATTCATATCAAAACATTTGCAATGCAACTATTTAGGGTTACCACCTAATTAATAAATCGTCAGGATCCACCTACCATCCAGGAAGATAAAATGTGCTCCTTCTTTGTTTTAAAGTTATCAGTAATTACATGTAATCTTACGTAGCACCACATTTCACTTTTTCTCCCTACATTATGAGCACAGCCTGATCATCTGAATAAATCCATCAAATAGAAGAATTTCTAGAATCTAGAATTTCTAGAATCTAAGTGCCCTTAAGCCATAATCAGCAAAGCAAAGCAGATCAAGACACTCAAGCTTAGTAGTACGGTGGCCATTTTATCGTCTTTGTAACTGGGCAAAAGAAGGTGGTGAGAAAACGAATTCAAAAAAAATCTTACAGTAGGTTTTTTGCCTTCTTTCAACAAAGTCTTCCTCCTGAGGACACCTTGAATAGTAACAGCTCCTGGATACAGATGAACAGCCAAATCTTCAGATTCTAGAGAGCTGAAAGGAGCATGTGAAAAATAGTGTGAAAAAATATTTTTCCTAAAGTAGTTCTCCAGTTATTACTTCAAGCTAATGCAAACATCTGTATTTTAATTTAGAAGTGCCAGCTTTTTATTTATTGGATTTCATTGCGGAAAAAGACTTTGACTGCTATGCGAGATTGCTATTGTGGAATTTACAATCACAAGCAAAAGTGATCATAAAATTAATTAGCCAGGCAGGTAGTCTATAATTAAAAAAATTAACACTCAAAACAAGTAAAATTCAAGAACAATTAATTCCAACTGGCAAGCATTCATAGTATATTCATATTGTTTTGCATCTGTTAAAACCTCTCCTTGAGCCCTTGCAGGAAAGACAGTGCTTTTTGTTAGAAACATTGGAATCATTAACACATCAAAAATGAAGCAAAAGCTCAATCAAGCATGCACAATTTTTGAAATATCTGAAAGCAAGAATAGTGGCAGGAGCAGTGATAAAGAAAAGAAACCTGAACCACATCTTTAAGGTGTTTTAATGCATCTGGTGCTCTACTAATCCTCCACCCTGTGTAGGGTCAAAGAGGAAAGGCCCAAAACATAAGCCAGGTACAGAAATGAAACGAAAACCTCGTTTTATTAAAATTATGAAGCTGACCAGCTTAAATATTTTCATTTAGGAAAAAAAAAATTTAAAATAGCAATCATTTCAGTAAACGCCAGTCAGAGTACGCAACTAAATTGCTGAACCCAGCAGTTTTCTAGAAAAGTTAAACAGCACCTGAAACCATCTTTTGAAGTAAACCAGAATTTACCTCTTCTCCATCCTAAGACTCAAGTGTATTCAAAATAAATAGAAATTTAGCAAGTATTTTCATTGCACCAACTGCTGAGGATGTGCAGATAGTTTGACACTGACGTGAACATGAGCTTAAGTCACTGAGAGAATGCTTGCTTCTTATTATGAAAAAAGTCATAATTACCTATCTCTTCCACAGCTACAGTGCCACACTGCTGCACACAGAATCTGTGGCTCAGTTACTCAGCATAATGAATAATATGACTATGACGCCTCTCAAAGAATGCTATATTCAATGAGTTGGGGCCAATTTTAACGCATGACTCATTTTAACCATATCTGTTACTTCAGGGAAGGGTTTGGAAAAGCACAAATTCAATTAAAAACTGTTAGCAAAGAAAACATCTTGAACGCCACCCATTAGCACAAGCGCAGCAGCTTTGCTGTCCACACGAGAACCACCGACACTACCGCAGTGACACACAGTTGAAAAGCTACTTATGGTAAAACATCTTGACATCAAGATGCAATGGTTCAGAAGTTGGGATGTGCAGACCAGAATGAACAAAAGCCCATACAGTGATTAAGTCTTAGAAGAGGACAGCCCTAAGTTTTAAGAGAAAGGCCTCCACCTTTATTTTGTCACACAAGTTAGAAAGATAACACCAGAAAACACCCACTTAATTATTAAACCGATCACCAACACCGGAGGGAAAGTTTGTGACCTCTGTGTGCAGGGGCGTTTGTACCTGCTGGCCTTCATGTGGCCTCGATAGCCATTTCGTGCCACTCTTGTCCCCGGACCGAGAGAATGGTACAACCTGTTCCTGTTGGATTCCATTATAAATTGTACGTATTACATATACTTTTATTCACACAAACAGCATGATCGCTAGAACAGCGTAACAATTTTTTGTGTGTCACAAAGCCACTTCTTCTACATAAGAAATAGAGGATAACTTTATTTAGAAAAATGAAGAGGTAGATATCTTTTTTATTTGAGGAGATATTCTCTTTGTCAGTACTCATAATGCTGAGGTGTTTCATCGGTATTGAAGATTAATAAATTTTAAGAAAATCCTGACTTTGTTCTCAGATTAAATCAAAATATAAAGGGTCAATATAAAAAAAAGCTTTGTTATTTTTAAAATCTGACTAAAGATGTTACTACAAAAGCCAGAGGTTTCAAATTCAATAAGCAGGCACACACTGCTGGGGTGAAAGACAGAAAAAATTTGCTAAACAGTTTTTACACGGTGGCATTACCTCTTCAAATCAACCACTGAAGCCAACAACTCACAATGAAAAACAGGACTGTCTACTGTGAGACAGTATCTAGTTAAATTATATACATTACAGAAAAAATATGGCCATTCACTTGAGTAAGCCCATACTGTTCAAAGAAAGTCAGTAGATCAATACCTCGGTTTTGGCTGACACTTGCTGCTTAAAATACTGCTGTGTTAATTAACGCTGAAGTAACCTCAGCAACACTTCAATTCTCCAATTCATAAGGGCTTTAAACTTAACATACAAACTTCACAGTTCAGAGCCCTTAATCTGATCTATACTTTTATCCATATCCAGGACTTGGGTTCTGGGCTTACATTTTGAATACAATACTTTGCTTCATTCAGAGCTGTTTTTCCACATCAGATCCTTGGTTGGCAGAATTCCATTTAAGTCAATAGAAATACAGATACATATACCAGTTTATACTGCTGCAGGGTTGCCTCCTTTTTTTTAGTCTCTGCTTTTATAACTTCTTGTATTATCTTGAAAGACTGAAAACCAGCTCTGATTTTGTAGAGAGCAGATGGTTAAACATAAGAATGTGAGACGTTTACGGGTAACATCTCTTATGTACAACAAATTTAATAAACCGTCCCCTGTTAAGGGTGCTTTGTGCCAGCTGAAAAGCTGTTTTGGTATGGACAGTCAATATTTCTCAGCATGTGAAATCTAAATAAGTAACAGTTTCAGGTTTTACTTTGAACTCAGAATAGCATACAGCAGGCAAACAAACCCTTGGAAAATAAGAGTCTTAAAGAAGGGACACAAAGATCAACAGCATTAAACAAAAAACACAATTTTCATTTTCTTACCAGCTGAAACTATTCCCTTTGCTGAAGGCAGAATTACCAACATGCCACAAACGAATAACCACCTACTAATCTTTTCCAGAATAAGCCTAGCTTCAGTATACTAGAGATCTTTGAATTTATGATTTTTTTTTTAAAATACATTCAAGGTTTAGACAGAAAAAGCAATATTTAAGATGAAGGAAAGAAAACTGTAATATGAGTTGTACATTTGTGTGTACTTATATTCTGCATGCAAATAAAATACTTTTTTTCTCTTACCTTTAAGCTTGTTTTTGCATAACAAGGAGGTTATCACTCTGGATTCGAGCTATTTCGGGTAAATCTATTCAGAGACACTCAGGATGACAACCAATGAGACTGAAGTGTCACTTAGTATACTACCCTCGCACAATACAACTGTCAGGACGTGGAATTAAAGTCCCTTCTGAATAATTTTGATTAGCCTAAAGGGACTCCCAATCCTGAAAGCTCTCTGTCTCAAGGTTCAGACTAAGTTTCTTTTGCTCTTATGAACAATCAGTGACTCTAGATCTCATCCCTTCTGCATTTCCAAGTTACAAATAGCCGGAGGGCTAGGAAAACTGAGAATATTTGATATTTCTACACAGATTTCCCAGGCAACAGAAAGAAGCGCATCTCATTTCTTCCTGTTAGGTATACTGTGCTGATTTAAGCCCTCCTACCCAAAGAACCTGTGGCCAAATCACTGGGCAATATTGTCTTCCCACTCACATGATATAGAAAGTAGTCATTAAGACAACTGGACGTATCCCAGTTTTGTTAACTGCTATCAGTTCCGGCCAACTATTGATTCCTTTTGCTTGGATAAAGGCTCTTTTAAGAATAGAAACCCATTGTACAGATCAAAACTAGAGATGCTCTTTCTTAACATAACTTAAGATACGTATTTCAGTGTATTACCTATTAAAATCAAAAGCCTGTTTCATAGTCTCATACAAATAAATGCAAGGGTGTGGTGTATCTGCACAAATTTCACACATGATGTTTTGAATGCTCCTAGAGAACTCAATCCCTCTCCTGGGTAGCCGACAAGAGAACTTGTCCTCAAAAACACGCAACCTCAAAAGGAATTCCCAAAGAGAGCTCTCAGGAAAAAAGAAAATACTGAAGGCATGTGGAATCTGGAGTAGGAGGAGGAAACTTGAGACGATTATCCTCAACATGGAACAAACCTTTCAATTCATGGGGAGTCTAGGCAAGCCAGTTCTCATTACAACACGGATGAAAAACCTCTGCTTTAAGTCCGCACAAACAATTCTGGAGATCACTATTATCCTCCAAAAACACGAGCTTAAGCCTGAGGCTTACTAAAATTGAAGTTTCCTATGTTTCTTGCGGTATGAAAGCGCTCATCAGTTCATTACTTTGTCTAAGGCTTTCCCACATAACTTTTTGGCTCTGAGAGATAGCCTGAGCTAGATTAATTCTGTAATGCAATAGGGAGGGAAGAGCAAGAAGAAAACCTTTCTAATACTGTAAGTTGCATCAAAGATGGCACATATGAGTTATAGGTTTCCTTTCTGACCTTATTTTCTTTCTGTGCTCACATGGAATGTTCTTTCTTCTTACCAAGGGAAACCTTAAGGGCATTTCCTCTTGTATATTTATAGGATGAAATATTAGAGTTCACCTTTGGCACTGAGCAAATTTCAAAGCTTCTTCCAAAGAGTAACACACAACTTGAAGTGCTTCAATAAATGCAAGCAGAATAAGGTTTGTGACACAGTTCCTGACTCTAAAGAGAAAGTTCTTTGACAAAAATTTCTACCAATATGTCTTGATAGCATGGTAGAGGAAGTCCTCTGTGGCAATTCTGAGCCTGATGGATTACCTGAAATTGAGCTATAGCAGCAAACTGTGTGTTTTACGGCACATCTTACTGAGTTGTGGGAAGATGAAATTTTCACTTCTCACTGTATTCAACTACAGCTGTTAGTCTTTTTCTGCATCCTCAAATACACCATGAGAAAGGACTGAGACGGTCAATGCCAGCTGAGTATTTGCAGATATTGAGATAAACAACAGGACATTAAGTCAACTACATAAAATCAGACATTAGCAAGGGTCTCTACTGTACTTTCCTGTGTGAAATAGGGATGACAGTAACAATGAACTGAAGGGAGACACAAAACAGGTGATGATCTCAATGACAAGAACAAAGGGAGCAAGGATGGCAGTAGCATCTCAGGGGAAGTAAAAATGAACAGATGAGTCACATGAATAGCAGATATGCAAAAATATAAGAAGAGAGAACATCAACTGGGGTTTGGTGGCACTCTGGCTGGTCTACTTAGAAGAATTTGTGCCATGAACAAGCATCTAATTAGACAAAATCTTGCTTGCTTACTTAAGTGAACCAGAACTTACTACATGAACTTACTACGGTTTATTAACATTGGCTCTCAAATTCTTAACAGATGCAAGACCTACAGATCACTAAAATAAAGCATCATTTTCAAGGACTCAGAGATCCTAAACAAGAATGTCTGAATAAAAAGAAAAATGCCGGTTTTGAGCAGCAGTTTTTCTTACCTTTCAAACGCTGGCCACGAGGTCTCTTCACTAAGTTCAGAACCATCACTGCTACCTTAAAGATCAGAATGGATGATACTTCATTAGCTACAAACTAACTAGTTCAATTATGTCAATTTATCTTCAAAATATTTATTAAGATTAAACATGTAACCAATACTTCACTAAAATATTAGAACAAAAATACCTTCGCATTTGCTTTAGAAATTTCAAATTAAATTGAGGTAGAGATTAGAGGGAACTGGTTCTAGATACTCAAGAAGCTGAGGAAAAACAGCCCTCATACAGGAGGGAAAGGCATTTTTGAAATTCAGAGAAGGCTTCTAAACGCTAATTTGTCTGATGATTAACAAAATAGGCATTTTAAAAGAGTCACTTTATATATATATATATATAGATAGATAGATATAGATATATTATGAAACCATATATGGTCATGACCAAGGGGTGCAATTTCATTACAGTGTAAACTCATCACCAGATCTGTGATACGTTAAAAGGCTTGGTTGATTTCAGTAACTTCAGTAACTTATTTCCCCACTTACTACATCAGCTCACAACAGCCTTTTTTCCTTTCACACTTCATGAAGTTATCCAATATTAATGGAAGTATTTTGTTAACCGCTATATAAAGTGGAGAAGGACACATACAGCCCCATTATCTGATGCATTTACTTGTGGCAGCTTGGTAAACAACACACTAATTTCACAGTTATAGTAAATCCCTTCAGTCTGAAAATTAGTATTTATGTATGAAAGAAATTTGTACACATACGTATATAAAACTGGGATTAACATTTCAGGAATTTGAAACAAGCCTCTGAAATATATCTGCCTTTTTTTAATTGCCAGGATGCTTTGTATACATGCATCTAAAATTGTTGCTGTTAAAAAGAAAGCGTTTGTAAGTTAGGAGAATCTGAAAAAAGTTGGAATGAACTCTACAATACTTGTAACCACTTCCACCTGTATCGAGAAGCTAATTTTTTTTTTTTTTTTTTAAAAAACAAGCCTTAGGTACTTGTGGGGTCTTATTGCCAAAGGATCAGTTCTAAACAGTCTTTATCTACTTTCCCTCACAACAATGCTTCCATATCACGATGTGAATTTTAATTCCCAACGTGCAACATGAAGTTAAGGTGCAACTCGTCCAAGGTCACGACAGGAATTCATGCTGTGCTAGGCTCAGTTGAGCGCTCTGAACAGTGGACGCTTTCTCTGCCTGTTAACAGATCTCAGTAATTTCAGTTTTTGCGTTAAAAACGATGCTCAAGCTGCTCTCTTGCTAGCTCTTTACCTCTCAGCCCAGCCCAGCTTCCCATGCCCAACCACCATCCTTGCCTCCACTTCCAGCCAACACATGATTTTGGCTCCAGAAAACCCCTGTTCCCTGGTTTCAGCTGAATCAGTCAACCACTGCTGAAAGCCCACCATTTTGGCACCCCCAGTGCCTTCTAGCCAACATCCAGTGCGCCTAGCAAAACACTGAAGTTTAGGGACAACTACAGCCCTATGTATTTCCTTATTACTAAGCAGATTTACCTTTACATTAGTACGTAGTGCAACTTTAATACGACTAGAACGCCACTTGAGTGACTATTTTGAGAATATCTGTATTAGCTTTGCTAACAAAGTTCTACTTCAAACACTGCACTATGCGTTCTATGACAACACTTAAAAGCTGTTTTAAAGATGCAAAACAATCTAGTAAAAAAAGGGCTCAAGTATCACTTTTTTGAAAGTAGTAAACCTTGTTACAGTATCACTGCAGTTACAAAAATTAAATGAATGTTGGGGATTCATTAACAAAAGATTTCTTTGTAGATTACACTTTTTAAGTGAAATGATCAATTACTCTTTCTAAAGCAATATTAATATAGAAAAATAGGGGGCTACAGATCACAGCCAGATGTTTCAATGCCTATATAGTTTTTCAAAAACTGTAACAGAAACCTGGAAAGGTTTATTTTTAGCGTTTGAAGTGTCCTGTGTTTCTTTAACATCTATAACGATCACATCTAATAGGAGTTCTTAGATTCTAAAGGTTTCTAAAGACTTTTTCACAACAAAAGCTCTGACACACAGACACGAAAATACCTTTCCCGAAAAAGCAAAAACTATGCATTACCTCCCTCCCTCCAAAACAAAACAGAAGTGAAAGGAACTGTTTTTAACTTAGAAGTTAGGTGCCTAGCCAAATTCTGCTTAACATTAAGTACACTATCACCTCAACTGGAAATATTTCATTCATTCAGTACTTTAGAAATATATCACCTTCTTAAATTCTTCTCAAGTATGTACTCAATATTTGTTTTTTTTCCCTGACAACCTCAAGCAGGTCTTCAGGTTAAACTTAATAACACATCCTAGGTAGTTTACATCCTTTCAATTAAGTAATCTTCTATACAACTTTCAGTTTTATGTCTAGAAACCACTTGGCAGAAGCCACAGTCTTCCTAGTTTACTGGTGATAAAATTAAAGACTTCTTGTATAGCCTTAAAAGAAATGGGCATTGTGTTGCCCTCTACCCCTATACAACACAAAGGCTTCTTCCTACCTTAGGAATATCAGCAATTGACAAAATTGTTTTTCACAAACTACACTGAAGATCTTTTGAGACGGTTTTTATGCAGATCTCTAGTACTGCAGCTCAACACAGAAGTGAATACTGCAGCTGAGTTTTGTAGGTTTGGATTTGTAAATGTGCATGTACAGATGTCTCGGCTGTAGACACCCAAACAGCACGAGGCTAGGCTCCTAGTTATGTGATAGGGGAACATCCCTAGCGCAGCATACTCATTTCCTCCCACCTCCAGTCACAGCATCCACTCACTGCCGAAAGTTTGAGGATATGGAACATTTAACACAGGCTTTCTTTATCCTTAAGTTAGTCCCCAAAGTTAAACAGGTGTTAATATAAACAAACCAACCCCAAAATGTTTGAAAAGTATTCAGACTAAAAATTCTTTCCCCCCTGTGCAACTGACACTCTTTTGGCTCCAGTTTCACAGTGTTTCCAGAGCTCCAGTCACTCTAGCTAGACACTGACCTGATACAACGTGGAATTCCAATGTGAAGACACAAAAATTGGTCAGTAGGTCAGATCATCCGTTGATATAGCACAGCACGGGCCTGCTAAGGTCACCGAGATGGACTTCATCCCCTAAAAGTTATGTTCTGCCCTGTTGAGTCCATTACTACATCGAAAATCCCCACAGATACTTTAACTACTGCAGTACCGTTTAACTATTTACAATAAAGTTTAAACAAGCTCGGGTTTGGCTTGCTAGACAAAGAAGTATGGGGCAAAAACTGGCAAATGGCTCAAACAGTAAGCTGCCAGAGAATCAACACACAACACAGTATCATCACTGACAGTTAATAAGCTGCATTAACCAAACAGAAGTACATAACCCAATGGATAAAGTTGGGGCAGAAATAGGGGGTCGGTATTGCTGCCTGAATCACATAGGGCACGCCCTGTACCAAACAAGGCTGATAAAGGTTGGGAAGAAAAAGAACGCTAAAACCTCTGTATAACCTTCTTTTCCCCTCCAACCTACGCATCTTCATGGGCATTCCCAGCCTAAAGTACTATATACTACTTGAATTTATCCTATCACAAATAAGTAGTTTGCGATAGCAGGCAAACTAAATAGCAGGCATTTATATACAAATTTAAACAAGAACAACAAACAAAACAAAACCATCACCTTCCTTTTGCCTGTAACCCTTCCCCACCTCTGATCTTCTCAAGCAGACTGCTGACGACCCAGGCTCCTCAACACCTGAACAGTGTTGCAGAGGGTCAGGAATCAAACAAACATTGGCTGTGCAGAATTCTTCCCTACTGTATGGGTTGCCCCAAAACTGTAAGTACGTGTGTACACTGTAAATCTACACCTATACATCATTTATTAAGAGAGAAATTATAATACCTTGTAGAATGCAAGTACTTCAAAATGGTCACTTAATAGAGTAATTCATTAAAATGTTCATTTTGTTGTATGCATTTTATGCCAGGTTAGATTTGAAAAGGTCCTGTTCTTAAAAGGACTTCAATTCATTCATCTGAGTTTAAAATACTTTTCCTTTGTATCTACAGCATTAATTTTCCCGATTCCATTAGGGTAAAGGCTCAAGTCACGCTGGAGTGCTGGAATACAAAAACCAAAACAAACGTTCAAGGGCCTTAGTTTTTCCAGAACTTTCATCCATCTTGTTGAAGATTAGGAAAAATAAGAGGATAAAAGAAATAAGTCTGGAAAAGAAAATGCTCCAAAGTCAGAACTGGATTTGCATCCGAAACTGTTAAGAACAATGTGTAATGCTTTTTCCTTTAAGTTTTTAAGCATCTAAAACTACATTCTTAATGCCAGGCTGAATCTTTCTGTGGTCATACTTCTACATCTATTCTTGAGTGCTGTACAGGTGAGACTGCACTCTTAGACAAACCTCTTAAGCAAGATTACTTTGCATTCAGTATGCTAGGCAGCTTAAGAGGAGAACAATCAAAACAGAAGCAACGTAAGAAAAGGGGGGGGCCATTCTATACTGTCCCTTTTCCCTTCAGAATTATCTGAACCACTAGTTACTGCGCACAAATTCAGCTTCACAAATGAACCTCAGTCCCATAGCTAAGCCAAATCATAAGGAAAGGTGAAAATCCCAAACTCCTGCAAATATTAACACGAGGCAAGCTGAACATTGCTGCACAGATACTTAAAAGGGTACGCTTGAGTTAAGAGAACAATACAGAAAGAGTATAAGTAAGTTAGGGAGTACTAGAAAACTGTGTATTCTTAAAAATTCTTTGGAATAAAAGAAGTTTCAATGTTATTAGATCGTGGTTCTACTTAGAGATAACACCATATTAATTTCTTCTACTTTTATGTGAGGTGGTGACAGCAGGCAAATATGTGCGGGAGAACACTTGCTAAAAGTCTGAAGGTGCTTCCTTCCACTCAGCCAACAGAAACGCTGAGATTTCAGAAAGGGAAGTTCAGGCTTCTGAAAGAGCACATACAACGACCACATCAAAACAGAGGGACCACAGAACAAAAACATCTTGTAGCTGTAGACTTACTGGTAGCCAGCAGGTAGGCAGAAGGCTCTCAGTGAACTTTTACTACCAACTTACTAAAAGCAGATATAATTCTAGTTCGCCTGCACAGAACAGAAGCACTTTGGGTGGTAGCCATCCGTCCGTATTTTCATTTGTGTTGGTTGTCAAAAATCTCTTTGCAGTCAAGAGAAAGTGAAGTTTAAGGACATGAATCACGTAACCTCTTTTTAGCCACCCACCTAAGAATGGGATGGATCATATCCTTGGAGATTCTACTTCTCTATGTAATTATAAAGAACTCCAGATGACTAGCTCAAATGCAGCTGTCTACATTATGGCTGTCTAAAATTTAGACAATATGGATCCCTCTCCTTCCATTTCTGAATTCAGACAAACATACCCCATTTGACATATGCATGAGTGCGTGGTGAAATATTTCTTCCTTCTATTTAGGATATCCTTGGCCTCCTGGAAAAAAGAATTCCTTCCTTTATTCAGATAGCAAGCAATCTTGTTGTAAAGTAAACGGGCAACAGAATGAGATGTACGTCTTCCCTACTCCGGCATAACATGCGATTGTCGGCTGAATACAGTCTTATAATTCTAGAAATCGTAACTGTTTTGACCAAGTACCTGAAATTAGCATAACTGACGTTGTCTTTACTTTTTTTTTTTTGACCCCCTGAGAGTTCTAGGTTTTTGCAGGATGAGTGGAAAGTATACAAGCAGCCTCAGGACCCTGAAATTAAGAAAAGCATCTGACAAAGACTTCTGATCATGGTTGTCCTGTTACAGACGGGCCTCCTCTTAGGTAATCCCATACCTAGGACACTTTCTGCTTTGTTGCTGCTTTAGGGATCATTCAGTGCAAAGAAAAATACCCACTTGCTGCACGCTTAACACTTGGAAGATGAATTACAGCACTGTAAAAAGTTTGGTATGTTATGCACCATTTCGAGTCTCTCATCGTACAACACAATCATAACCTGCCCATCACTCGTACGTGTCTTTCCAGTTTACAGAGAGAAGCAAACAGCTAAACTAATTGTTCAGTTTTAGTGTGCTAATATGCAGAAGACAATCTGTGAAAAGATCAGTTCCAGCATCACTAGACTTGAGATTCATGGCTGCATGAAATTGAAAGTATCTGTCACAGAGCTAACTGGAGAAATGCAAATGGCATTGTCCTTATGTATTTGAACCTACTGTGTTCATCAGTGGAGAAAAAAAAAAAAGAGGAATCGTCATTAACATGCTTTTAAATTGCTTCACTGAAGCAAAGCCAAACTCTGGCATGAGGCCTCAACAAAAACGCACAAATTCTCATGCTCTCATGATTAAGACAAAGCATCACAATGATACAGTGCTACATACAATCATCCTACATAAACTGTTGTTACACAGCTCGGTATTTGACATTTGATGTAAAGATAGACTGTATCAGATCCTCCAGTATTAAAGGATCAGAAAGGTCCAAATAGCTCTGAGCCCTTAAAACATAAGTGTTTTAAAGTAATACAATCATCTTTATGATCACAGTCAAGCTGCTGGCATATCAGAAATACTGGTAATGTTTTGAAGACTGATCATTTATCAATAAATAATTAAAATAAAAAAAATTTAAAAAGTGGTGCCTTAGGCTTTCTTTCCACCCCCTGCATCAAGGAGGAGAATAGTAGCAGTGGCTGTAACATTAAAGAGGATTAAAAAAATTAACGACCTGCCTTTTTAAAGTTATATGTCAGCTTGTGGTTCAATTATGTGTACAAGTTAGACTGCCTTTCATACCTACATTTCTCAAGTTTGCTCTAAATTGGTATTTTAGAACAGTACCATTGCTTGTATAACCTCCTCATCTAAAAATCCATATTAAAAGACCATTAACTGCACAACTATATTTACGGTTCCCACCTATTGAAATTCCACTTGAAAGGGTGGAGCTTTCTGCCTGCCCTCTGGATGGGGCATGAGGTTCCATGACACTGTCGTCCAGTAGGTGCCTTGGTCCTGCATTGGGGAATGTTGCGCTTTTGAATTCCGCCGTGTTCATTTTGTGTATGAAACTAGGAACAAATAAGGATAAAATTATTATGTTATTTTTGATACCTTGTAAAAGTTGCTGCTTTAACACCCTGAAAGATGCCACATAGTGTGTTCTGAACCCCAAACAAGACCATGGTTTGTGTCATAAGCAATAGCATGCAAGTTACATTACCTGTATGAGCTGTTAATATCAAAACCGGCTTAGAGCTGAATCACAAAAATCTATCTTGCATTTCGAAAGAGCAACAAGAGGAACGATAAGACGATGATCAAAATATTAATTAGAAGTATTCCTAGCTAGAAAAAGGAACTAAAACCATTACTTTACAAAATCATGTAAAAACCTACAAATGACCCCTCTCACTATAAGAATACCAGCAAAATGATTATTTTAGTTTTAATTTGAAAGAGTTGCACTGGAATTTAGCTACTGCAAGTGGTAGTTTCTTTTCAGATGATGAAACTCAGTAAAAACCTCTCGGAACTTCGGCTGCTTATGTAAGAACACATCACATGACTCTTCTTTTTATGGGAAAGATGCAGTTTGATCTTAAAGCCTGCAATGAAGAGATCCGTGGCAGAAATTTCAGGAAGAGTTTTGTCATTACCTGAGCAGTTTTCTGGAAGACAAATTTTTAAGTAGTGCACAATTTATCCTGAAACAGGAATGCAGAACATGCGGTGCTTTGTGACCTACACTTATTATCACAACAGTCACACAGACTGTTTTGACTGCTTAACTTCATTTGGGAAACTACCATTGCATTTCTGAGCTTGCTCTCTGACCCTCAATTGATCTCTAAGTGAAATACTGTATTTAAACAATGCTACTTTTCGAAAGCAAAGCTTTTACATTAAAAGATGATACATTATGTGCATCACAAAGCTTAGAATTTTCAGATTAAATAAAATGCTGACTTGTATCCCAGACTATGACATTTCCTATGTCCATGTGGTATCAAGTTCCTAGGTGAAGGGGGTGTTGGCGGCAGCAAAGCTCCTTCAGCTGCAGCATTTTTCCGTCCACTTTGTGGAGATGCTCCAACTTCAGAGCCTGGGAAAAAAAGAGACATTATTTCTGAATAATCTTAGAATAACTTTCAGTGTTACTTCTAAGGAAACTGTGGCACGGTTGCACAAAGAACTACCTAAACTCAAATTGTAAAAGATACCCTATAGCCTTAAAACTCACTGCTATATCCATACCGATATTTAGAAAAACGGTATTTGGCTTCTTTTGCACAGGGTGAAAAACACACACAAGTCATTCTAAATAGTTCATCTAGTTACAAGGATTTTGAAAGTCCTCAAACTTGCTGCATTAGCCACACTGACATTAAACACATCCTATTGATCTTCGTATTTTCAAACTCCTTTCAACCACTTCAGAAATCGATCAAAAATGATGTATTTTTTGGAAGTGTACTATTCCATGAAGAAGTTTAGGTGAAGCTGTTTTGTTAAATACTGATGCTTTGCTGTATTTAGACAACTCTTCATTCCAAATAACACTGCCAAGCTAGTGCAAAACATACAAGAACCTAAAAAACCTGACCCAGTTCCTTAAAAAAAAATCTCTTTAGAGATCAACTTTAGAGTTTATTACCAGTATACTGTGTTTACCCTTCACATCTCTACTGTCCTCAGGCAAGTATTTTCCATGTTCACAACTCAAAAAAAAGTATTCAACCATCTGAAGTCTTCTCATAGTTATTTAGCATTTACCTACTAAGTCTTCTCTGGAAGCAGCAGAATGTGGGGTGCTGGTCCCTGGTTCTATCTTTAGCGAAAGTCTGCATTAAAGAAGCATTAGAAATTACTTTATCATCAGGAAATAGAAGGACATAAAAGTACATTTTTGAAAACTAAACGTTTTTTGATTTACAATGGAAAGTTTGTTTCTATAATCGCAAGAAACATCATAACGTTAATAAAAAACTTGTGCAGTTACTATCTTTAGCATATAGTATTTCCAACCTTTCTTTTTTCTTTTAAGTGGAAAAACACCACTGCAGCAGGGCCCGGGATTCAGAAAATCACATGCTAAGGCATAGCACAGTAAGAGAGTCTGTTGCTTCAGATCATACAGAGCAGCACAGGTTTGCAGTATCATGATACTGGAAGGCCAGACTCAGTAACAAAACCTTGGCTACCGAACAGCACCGCAGCCTCTTTGCGTCAGGTAACCAAGCAGCTGACACAGGAGGCAACGAGTGGCTGCAGCCAACAGCCACCAGTAGCCCTCCCTCTCTCTCTTATAAGCAAAAGCTCAATATCAGCCCGTAACAAGCTGGGGGCAGAGTCACACTGCAGAAGGCGCAGAGGAAGAGGCCACAGGTCAGCATCGGCACCAGCCTCTAGGGAACACGCAGCCACGCATGAGCCAGGGCCGCATGGCCCTGGGACCACTAGCTGTTACATGGGACTCAGTGAGGTTACCTCTACCCGAGCATAACCACGGAGAGGAGCAAAAGCCAAGCAACTGCCCACCACCTTGGCAAAAACGTTTGTATTTACTGTATTTCATCTGTTGAACTTTTCTGTACAGTACTAAAAGCACATGCACACTTGTGCACGGCCAAGCCTTCTGTTGCCACTACTATTCTAGGAAAACAAAATCCTCCTTTGGGGTTTTGGAAAATACATTATATTATGAGCTTCATTGTGTCAATCATTCAAGCTTTTTCTAAAACAGTTCGACACTTTTCAGTGGCATCTCCACTAGTATTGCAAAGGGAGCAAGGTAGATCGCTCACCAGGTAACACCGAAAAAGATCGGGAACATCCTGTTAATGCAATCTGCGGAACTAGACTCTTTGAAATTAGCAAGTTTAGAAAAGCATCTGTTTAACTTTCAGGAGGAAAAGCTTAAAGTTTGACAGCTCCTCTCCCTCTCATTTACAAACGGTTTAGCACAGATTCAGGACAATTTTAAAGTTTAATTTGCTTAAATAAAATAAAATTCTTTAGCAAGAAAAAACAGGAATTCAAGTCACAATGATGGTTTTCTAACTGCAGCCTTTTCAGATCCCCTACAGGATAAAAAGTAAGTTAGTCTCTCATGGCAACAACGGTTCTTCAAAATATAGTGTCCCCATCCCTATTTCAGTGTGGGGACATACATAACTCACAGGCCTGAAATCAGACCTTCTGAATAGCAGTCCTGACACTGCATTGCATGTAACCGTGCCGGTTTCTGAGCTAACAAAACTTGGGTCACATAGGGTGAAGCGACTGTAGCACCTGCAGCAACGCACTCCCCGCTAGCACAGACGCCTGCGTGGTGAAGGAGGAAGGTGCACTGTGGAACTCAGAAAGACTATCGGCCACAGAGAACCACACACCGCAGTTAAGTGACTTCTTTCTTCTTCAAATGCTCAACCACACAGCTTTACTCCCAGTGATAAGTGAGCAGTACTTTCAGAAGCAGGCTATGGAACGTTTCAGCAAAAAGTTCAAGCTGGAGGCTTACGTATTAACGTACAGACAGTGCTCTGGAGAACTACCAACAAATCTTTAAGACCTGAAAGGAAGCCAGGTGTTTGAGCCCTGGTTAACTGTCCTTTGACCCAAACTGAAGTGTCTCTATCTGCTGCCATCTAGTAAATTCTAATTAGGGCTACTAAACGCTAAGCCGCTTATAAATTATTGTTTTTACAAAAGACAATCTGTTCCTTTAGCGCGCCTCCCCCTCCCACCATTAGAACGCAGCTGCACAAGCAACCGATTCAACACCACTGCGGTGACAAACTTCCAGGGCAGGCAGGATGCGAAGGGGTGGGAACCTTCTCGGGCAGATCAGCCAGGGAACAGAAGCTTTCTTCACGTGCAACAGATCTGCTTCAGGCGGCTGCCTATCCTCAGGGCTTGTTCCTGTCTTTTGTCAGAGATTTCCAGGCCCCCGTTTCACTGGATGCCAAATCACTTACTATAATAATCTTTTAATTAGGGAAGCAGAAACCTCTGTTTAGGGTAGTATAAGGGGGAGGGAACAACATTTTGCTTTTCAAGTTCAAGTGTTTACATCTGATTCACCCTGTGAACTCTACTCAAAGGATAAAAATATAAAATGAAGATTTGAGAAAGCAAAAGTTGTAACTCCTCCTCAGTAAGAGCTCAGGACCGGATGCACAGATGACTTCGTTCTGATGAAAAAATGACATAAACCACATCTGACAATGGGATCCATATCTTACTGACTCCATACAGAGTGCTACATGTGAGCTAGAAGTATGAAGTGGTCAAGAATAAACACTCAAAGACCGGTCTGCAGACCTCAGTACACCCAACAGACCAAACAGACCCAACAGAACCAAACAGAAGCCAGTTCTTGATGCAGATGTAGATGTAGAAGAGGAAGGAAATATGCCCTCTATCATGCTGAAAATTATCCTTTCTGAGCACAGGACTCTGCTACAATCTCTCTACTTGCAACAGATGCACCTGAGACCCATAAACCCTTGTTGCAAGTGGAAACAAAGTGACAGGCTTTTTGTTATAAAAGTTACTTCTGAAGAATTACAGTCAGTTACAGCATTTCATACTTACTTGTAATTGTCATCTTCTACAAACTTTTGTAGCTCTTCTATGTACTGAACTGAGTTTAGGTATTTTTGGACATGAGGCAACAGAGGAATATCTAGAGAACAGATGACATCCATTACCACTGTACCATTCATGGGTGAACAAAGTTATTCTCTAGAAAGTTATTTTACACAGAACCAGACCCCTTACCTTTTCCACGTGAGATAAAAAGGTATAAACTACAATCTCACTGACGTTGAAATTTTTTGTCCTTTATGCCCGTTACCGTGCTATCGAGCTGACACTCCCTACGTCCACAGAGCCCCTGGAGCACTTTGGGCTGCTCTGCTTATCAGAGCATAGGAAGGGAAAAGGGAGCAAGAATCCCTGGTCAGTCCTAAGTTCCAGCCCTGGCACCTGGAGGACTGCGTCAGAGAAAATATTCCCTCACAGCCCAATTATGTTGAGCTGCTAGCGAAGGTGCAATCCAGTGCTAATATCACATTCTGCTGCTAACTGTCAGTCTGTACCATCACAAATGCAACCTTATAACTTTACTGGAAGAGAAGGAAAAATTCGATTGTGAGGGAGATCACCTTTGAAGAAAAAAAGTTTCTATGAATAGCACTAGAAGTGTCCAATAGATAAGTTTTATATATTTTACTATCTCCAGTAACAGCATACTCCAAAAGCAATCCTACTATTTTTGGGATCACAGACAAAATTATGAAAAAGAGATATAAATTTTTAATGTACTAGCAAAACTTTTATTAAATAGAACGTTTTTCACATTTTTCATCCAAAAGAAAAATACTGCAGGAACTTGAACTGTAAGAGAAGGACAATTTTATTTCGTCTCCTCATACTGATGCTCCAACATAACCTACAACACAAGAATCAAGTTTTAGACTTTGGGGGGGACAGGGTGTTTGAGAGGGTGGTAATGGCATACAAATGGATCAGGCTTTATTAAGATAGTATCAGGGAAGACAAACATTAATACTTTAAAAGTTACTGTCTTTAATACTGCAAAATTAACGTGCTAGCTTACCATATTCACAGGACTGCTGTAAATCTGAGATAATTCGAAGTATGTTGTTCATTAAATTTGTTCTTTGCTCACTTTCCAGAATGCTCCCTGTTGATGGGTATGCAGAATCAATATATGTCAAGTCTGAGAGGTAAATACCTGAATAAAATTAAAATAAAAAATTCCTTTATTTAGTGTCTCACGTTTACCACATACAACCCTCCCCCGCTGCATCAAAAGAGTATTTTGGGGAATTTTTGCTTTCGTTGACTAATGTACATTGAGATTGATGACTGCATTGCCTTACTGCGTGTTATTTTGGATGTACCTGGAAAATCATCTCTACAGGATCTGAGAACCACCTCAATTCAGAGAAAAACAGTAGCTATGCTTGGACTTACAGGAAAGCGCACCACTGTACCACCCCTGTCTGGGATTGAAGTTGAATCACTTGACTCTCAACTTTGTCAAACCTGACTTAGCTGTATTTGCAGATGCCATGAGTATGTGTTCACCTAGGTTTGCATGCAAACCTTTTGTTCTCAATGACAAATCGAAACAGGAGGCAAAGAGGGTCTTTTTTTCATGCATCATACCAGGCACGTACAATCTGACTTTCAGTCTTGGACAGCATCACTGTTTCGAAATCTGAAAGCAATTATGAGTGAATGCACAACTGCTCATGATCCTGATCTTCTGTCACACAACCAATTCATCATTCCCTTGATAAATATGAAGCATATTAAACACAAAAGGCTAAAATACATGAGCAAAATTACTAATAACTGTATGAAGCTGCCTATTGCTCCAACTCTGCAAACTACAAAAACTAAAACAAACAAGAACATAGACAGAAGATCTTTCTTGTAAGCTTTTCAAAGTGAATAGAAACTGAGAAAAAACTCAGTTTGCAGCAACATGGGAAATGAGATCCAGGCAAAAAGTGCATTTAGATTGAAACGTGGTATGAACGCTGCAGTTCATCATATTAGCTTAGATTTAGCTCTCCAAGTCCTCTACCTGTTTCTTCCCCTCCCCACCACCACTGTAACCTTACTAGTCTGCCAGGCCTTTGATCACATGGAGAAGAGAGAGGAAAGGTCTCCTCCTTGCATATTACTGCTGTAAGTCACTGCTTATTTTAATTCTGGATTCTATTCATTTCCATTTCCAAAACCTTACCCAAAGTCTGGTCGTTTCTTCTCTCAAATAAATGAGGCACCTCCCAACCAACTTTGCCATTACAAAGGAAAAGCTCTTCTTCCCCTGCATCCTCCACAATACAAAAGCCCTACATGACTGTTAAAATACCCAAACTTAAATAATATTTTGGTAAAACTTAAGCAATCTGGAATTTCTAAAATTATATTTTTCTTACCTCAGGCTTGTATAACCAAAGTCATAACAAGAAGTGTGGCTTTACAGGTGGAAGAATATTAATACAACCTCACTAGAACAGCAGTTGTGTTTGTACAGCACCTAACCAGTAGGTTCTTCAAACCTGAGTTGGGAAACTCTGGGCATCACTCCAAAGTCAACACATACATGCGTGTGTGCGCACACACGCAGAAACAAATTAAAATACTTGTGGCTGAAAGGTGGCATAAAAAAAGTGAACAGAAAGGTATTACACATGACCTGGTATGTTCCTAAATTTCTCAAACTTGTACTCTGCTACAAATAGTTTACTATAAAATAGAAAGGATGATCAGAAACATCAGTTATTCACATTTATATTATAATGCTATCTAAACTGCATAAAGCTATCCTGAGCCTAACTTTGCTAAGCAATGTCCTAACAGGCATTTAAAAAAATCCCAATCCTGCTCAAACTTCCATAGAGAGAAGTAAATCATGCTTATTATTTATAATGAAAGAAATTCATTATGAGCAAGCTCCTGCAATATATGATTTTATAAATCAATGTATTTGTAGGATTATCCTCTGAAGAACTTTAAAATTAGAAGTACCTTTTTTCTTTCAGCTCAAACAAGACCTTTTTTGTAGGCAGCTGTTCTCTAAAATTCATTACTTCATGCTTTCTTATAAAATCTAAAACTATTTAAAAAGACTACAAAGGTAATAGTTTGTCTCCTTTGCGAAGGATCTGAGGAGATCAATGAAAACAAAATGGATGTGCTTAAGCCCTGGCTGAATACTGACACAACTAAGAGCAGGATCCTGCATTTCCTTTAAGGTGTGATCTCTGTGACTTCTGCTACTTTTAGCACTAATCCGATGCTATCGAATACTCTGATGCCTAACCAAAACCATCACGCCCAGTTTTAATATTTTCCACATGCATCAGGGCCTTTACGAGCTTAACAACTAGAACTGTTTCTGATTAAGCAAACGGCAAGAACTGAACGCGACGTTCGGCTGAACGCTCCCGGAGCCTACAAAAGGTTCATTTTTCCTGTTGTATCCAGTCAGGCTGCCTCTTTTATTCCCAGCAACACACATTGAGTTTTATCAGCCTGAAAGAATCTTTCTTCTAAATGAAGCCCAGCACTGTAATAACTTGAAAGGCATCTTTAGGCACCGTAGTAAAAATGTTTGATTCTGACCTCGCGCGCAGGCCGTTGCCACATGGTACCCTCCCTCGGCGGGGCAAACAATCTGCCCTTGTTCCTAACGCCGCGGCCTCCCTACCCCCTCCGCCGCTGGAGGGTCCGGATAGGAAATCCGGAGGAGGAGTTTCTTGGGCTCGCAGTGACATCATCGGGGGGCCGAACGTCTAAGTCCTGTGTATTTGTTTAAAAAAAAAAAACCACACACACCCTGTCCAAATGTGATGTATAGGAATCTGGGTCAGCTGTAGCTGCTTAGTGCACTTCTGCGTGTGAGAGTAAAACACTGCAGCTTCAAAAAAAAACCCATTTCTTTCTCTCTTCTGGAATAAAACATACTGGCATGTTAACTGCTTTGTAAAAATTGTTCAGTTAGCTTGGTTATCGCATGGAGAAACCCAATTCCTCAATACGGCTTGGATTTAACAGAAAAAGACAAAAGCAGCTTTCAACTACAACTGCAGATTAACAGCCCACATCATCAGGTAACGCAAGAAGAACAGGCAAGTCGGCCTCTGGATTTTCCATCTACTACAGAAGCAAAACAGCTGCAAGATTTTTTTTTCTTGGTAAGTTTTAAAGTTATTCTTACTTGAAAGTTTTGTTTTGAACCGTTTGCAAGTTCTACACGCATCTAGCATCTGCACACAACCACGGACAGACCCATCTCTCAGCCCAAGAATGATTTGACAACTAAAATATAAAACTCACTCCTGTGGCATTTGGTAGACTCTGGGAACTCGGAAAGGGTTAAAGAGGACTTGCATAAGAGCAGAAACTAACTCATTTCACTCATAAAGATGAACAAGTTTTAGTTGTTTAGCTGTAAAACCTTCTGCAGATTTTGTGCTATATACAGTTACAGAAAATTAGTACTGCCAGGCGCTTTGCTAAGCACACAATTTGGGTACTGTGAACAGAAAGCGAAATTCTGCTCCCGCCAGAAAGCAAAAGCCCAAATTCCTATCACTTCAGGGAAGCCAGGACTTTGCTCAGAGCACAGACCCAACATTACTAGAACTGGAAAATGGATACCTCAAGTAAAACCACTGCAAAAAATCCCAAGTAAATCAATGCACATCTTTAAAGCGGCAGTTATCACTGTATATCTTTTCAACTAAAAGAGGTGTATTTTATAGGGACTTCTAAGATCAAAATCTTAGGAAGCAGCCCAAGTTGTACAACCAAAAAACCTGCAATCATACCTTGCTTCAGGAAATAAATCTGTTTGTACCACTGACAATTGTGCTGTTGAAAATCCAAGGAAATTACTGTAGAAGACACCAACCCCCTCCTTCAGCAACTTGGGGAAGGACAGGGAAGTTAACTGTACCTTCATTTAGCAGCAGTTTGTTCCTAAATGGATTCATAAAGAGGAACTTCAAAACAATGAGCATTCACTGACGAATTTTTGGTTAAACTGGTTTACATGCCAAACAGTTGCTGTGTTTCATAAACATGAAATGCAACATACAAAGCAACAGTGTACTAAGTGGAAAATAATGTTTTTTTTACAGGTCTTGGGGGGCAGGCAGAAGGGGGGAGGATGCAGTTGCAAGTCAAAGACTAAAAAAACAGAAAGCTTTTTAAAAGCATGAAAAACAAAAAGTACGGATAGAAAACTCAAAATTTAAAACATTTTTCTTCTGTTTGCCTTTCTTCATGCTATATGTGAAATAAAAATACAGTAAATAACGTAGAACAACGACAAAGAATACAAGTTCCACGTTTGCATTAACAAACTCTCAGAATGTCTGGCACAATAAAAGAGAATGAAGGGGTGACACTAAGAGAGAAAGAGTATTACAGAAAGCACGCTTAATTAAAATTTAATGGCTATAGAGCGAAAAAAATCCCCAAAGCAGTCTGGACAAATAGAAAAATTGACCCTTTACAAGATCTTAAGCCTTTTTTTTTTTTAAAACTATCCTTTTGTGCTTCTCTACAAATTACAGAGAATAAATCTAAACAAACAGAACAACAAGAACATTCAAAATCTACTTTGTGTGCTTCGGACACCAGGCTCCACTCGTTCATCATTACCCAAGCTTTTGCTTAGCACTACTTAGAATAATTCTTAAATCTTTCATAAGAGAAAACAGCTGAGTCAATAACTTTAAAGCAATAAAACGTCTATGTGCAAGAATTTAACTCTTTCTCCTTTGCTGTCTTCTAACTTGAGTTCAAATTTTGGAAAGGTAATCTTAAATAAACAGCAGACTATTAATATTACGCTGTTGCCACAAGAAGGATCTGAAGCATGAGCAAAAGACATTTAAATTTTACATGAACTTCAGTCACAGAATGGAAATCCTAAACTTTTCAACTTTTATTGTTTTCACTAATTTTTTTAGTGGTTTTAATTTGTTGTTCCTAACATACTCTATTAACTTGGTCCTTGAAATTTATACATTGATGAATGAAGCAAAACTTCTTATAGCAAACATTTAGAAATTCTCTCTGCATTAAGCATTTGGCAGAGTTACCATTTTAAGAGTGACACATTTTCAATGACTACCTCAAAAGCACCTGAAGATCTTCAGATTTCCTTTCCTAAAAGGAATCAGATTCCTGATAATATCAGGGAATTAGAATTCTGTGGCTCAACACATTATACATCTGACCAACAAACCCCAAATCCATATTATTCCTGGTTTCTAGTCAATATAAATGAAAGCAATTCTCTTATTTTACCGAGGGCAGAGTGATTTGTTGGAAAAAGGCCTGTTTATACAGAGCAAAGTAATTTACAGAAGTACATAGATATCTATTATCAAAAATCCATGTGAACATTTCTCCTGTAGCAGGACTGTATCCCCATTCCAGTATAGCTTCTGATGTCATGGACACAGTTTTAAGGTAAAAAACAGAAAAAGACTATAGTCATTCTGGGCAGAGATGGAGGAATTTATTGGATAATTTTGTTGATTGTACTCGCTTAGACAAACTTTAAGAGAAAATGAAAATCTGCATAACAGCAATAACAAAGCAGATGACCTGCTATCATGTTTATGGATGTCATGGAAGCATCTATATTTTCAGTGTGATCATTTATTTTCTTTAAAAGAAAAGGAAACGAAAAAAGGCTATTTCTCTTGGCTATTTCTCTTCCTGGTGTAGTTTTAAATGCAGGCTTCTCTAAGAGGGCACTGTTAGTATTCATCATTTGACCATACTCCTTTAATAAATATTCTGGATAAAGACACATACTGAGACCATGGATTAAGATCTGAGACCACCAGATAGAAGTGGTCTTCGTCAGCTCAGGAAGAACAGGATTTTTCTAGTTTGTGCTGAGGGTCTCCAAATCCTACATCTTGGTCAATCCAAGAATCATAGCATTTCAAAAACAACAGAGAGTTTTCTGTTTAGATAGTTAGAGCATGCCACACAGTATTTCTTTGGATAATATACCCCATGCTATAGTAGTTTCTCAGGGACAGTTAAAATATTAAAGCTTTACTATACTCTTAAGATGGAACTGTGTTTCTTATTGCCAATTAAATAACACTTTTGAAAGCAACAAGTTAGAGTAATTTTGGAAATGGATTTTTTTGCATGAGGACCAGGCTGAAAAGAAACAAGAAAAAAGAAGAGGAGGAATGGTATTAAGCTTGAAGTGGTATTGAAGCCCTACCCACAACTTGGAATATTTTTGACACAACGATTATGAGGTTTATCGTGCTGACATGAGTAGTTCTAAATTTTCTTCCGCAGATGCAATAAAGCATCAGCATGCCAGAATATATGCAATACCATCTCGTCAGAAACACGACTGACGAAACAGAGGGACAAAGAAACGTGGCAGAACCAATCAAGTGAAGCAAGAGTGTATTCCAGTTTCAAAACTGACAGCTCACCCAGAATTAAATACTGCATTTAAGCAGATGCTGTTGCTTTAATTTGTCATGGCCAGCATTCAGGTACTTCACCAGAACCAATGCAAGCAACTCTGTCTAGGCTCGCGTGATGACTTTAGACTGCGGCTCTGCCTGAAGTGATCCCTGAACCTCAGCCACTTTACCCCATAGCAACTATGACCCTTATTAACACATAAGCATAAATATTCAAAATGAACATATATAATTCATTAAAAGGAATGTGGAAAGTAGATTGCAGCAGGAGAGCTGATCAGCCAAGGCGCTGCACTGCAGTATACCTGGTTTTGAAAGACTCAGTTTTTGTGTGTTTCAGGAAAAAGTTAGATGTGCTGTTTTCTTCCCCCAGCCATTCAATATCTAAATAAAAATAGTGAATCTTTAAAAGCTACCAGGGATTCATAGGTTATTTTCATAGGTTATTTTGGGGGATACTAAGGAGCTACTATACACTGCGAAAGCAGAAACACTGGAATACTGAACCGTCACTATGGTTTCAACCTTAACGTGCCATGAAGTCACTTGCTCTGCATTTGAAAACACTGGATGTAAAATAGAGAAAAACAGTTTAGAGGACCTGAAGAAGTTTCAAAGTCCAGACAATTAGTTCAACTCCTCTTTGTCAAGTTGAGAACCACACAGACCTGTTCCCCGTATTTTTTAACCATGATTCACGTGAAAATTTCACCTCATGAACTTCCAACTAAGCACTGCTCAAGTGCTTAATATTTCAAATGTTTGAAACTACCAAAGAAAATTATGCAATCAGTTCCAGAAAAGTGATGCTTATTTGTTTTTCATAAAAAGTGTACCTTTAGCAGTCAAATAGTAACAAAACTCCTAAACAAATTGTTTCTAAAAAAAATTAAGTACTTACCAATATTTACCATCAGCACCTCACACACCAAAATAGTTATTCCATACTAACAATGACATGCACAGAAACAAGTATTTAAATGTAAATACATGTTTAAACTTCTGTGCACTCCTTCTATTTCAGGAGAGTAAGAAATAGTTGTTAATGCGTGTTAAGAGTAAATGCCTTTTCTTCCTCCCAGAAGCAGAACTTGCAATACAACTGCCAGCAAAACAAAAGTTATTTTTTAAGACAAGAGCAGAACACTCGACCGAGATTCCCAGACATAACTTCTGATTGCACACAGAACGTGTTTTCAAGATGGTAACCACCACTGCTCTTAATCAAGTCAGAAACTACTAGACTGCCTCTCCTTCTGGGGAACTGCTTCAGCATTGCCAAACGCACTTAGAACTCGAACTTGGCAGGAGCAGTGTGAAAATTATGAACCTTCGCTAGTCCTATTTTATTCAAGGTCTCTGCATAAGGCCTTGTACAACTGCTAGCAGTAGACTGGAAAGACAGATCAAGGGCTGATATAAGAAAGAGGAGAGTGATCTGCTTACAAAGTATAAGGTAAATAGAACATGGAAAATGAGATGATAAACAGCAGTAGTATCCAGGTCAGAAAAAGTTCACAAGTGTTAAAAAAGCAGGTCTTAAAAATATTCTTGGGTTTTTCTCATTGCATTTTAATTCTTTACACAGAATATTAAAAAAAAATCATCTTAGAAAGGTGAATGAAACACTCTAGTATGGTATTTATATTGATATCAACACACCTGATTCTTCAGTGCTATTCGGATTAATGATCTCATAAGAGAGATAAATGAGAAATGAAATCACAAATGGATTAATGTTCTCGTAAAGATATCAGAAAGTAGAGTGACAACGATTAAAAACATTTGTCTCCAAAGTTAGCTAAGTAGGGATAAGTAACGTGATTTGCTCAATATATATTTTCTTCTTTACAAATTTAAGGGCTACTTGAAAATATAATTTTAATCAATATTAAAGACAATTACGTTAGTCTAATCGCCTAACACTAATACCAAAACCAGGTTAGATATGTATTTCATGTTTTTCAAGTTTACCATACATGTGCATGTACATATACATACAGTAAACTTGAAAAATGTATGTATGTGTGCATATTTGCGAAGAGATGTGTATATAGTATGTAACAAATGTTACGTACATATGCCCATATATAAACCTAAAAAAGGAGCGGAAAGGCCAGTTTAATTCAAATTACTAGCCTTTTAATTTTTATAATTTGGATTTTCTAAATAGACTGTATCAGTCACCTCTCTCTCTACTTTTATTCCATGAAGATATTCTGCAAGAACTGTGCAGGTTTTATAACGTCATGCTTTAGTTACAGTGATTACAGACCTAAGAGGTCAAATTTATAACGGAAGTAAAATACACAACCTGAAAAGGAATGCTGTTTCTGAAAGTTTATTCATTATAAATTCTCTAATATGTCCAATACATAAATTGAGCTTGCTGCTCAAAAAAGAAAGCTATTCTTTGAAACGCTATCTAAGGGAATCTACTCCACATAACAGATTCCAAAGACTTGTCTACGCATATGTGGCATGGCAAACCCCATCAGTTTAGGCAGTTTAGTCTTAGTTACAGCTCCAACGCAAATAAGTGCTTTCCTCCAGAACAGTGCTTGATATGATGAAATCTGAAATTAATTATTTTATCTCCTATCTGTTCAATAGTCTCTTCTGAAATCCATCACACTTGCTTGAAAATGAAGATATTTAAATGGACTTTGGGTGTACTGCTATTCCTCCTGTTGTCTATCGGACGTTGTACAGAACACTCTAAGCTTAATAAAACATCCCAGCGGAGGCACCCTCGCTCAGCAGACAGTGGAGAGGAAGGAAAGAAATGTGGTTACACATTCTTGGTCCCAGAACAAAAAATCACAGGGCCAATTTGTGTGAGTACGAACGGACCAGGTACTGGCAACAGAAAAGATGAAGTGACAAGAATGGACATAGAAAACTTGAAGGATGTGCTGTCCAAGCAAAAGCGGGAGATCGATATATTGCAATTGGTGGTGGATGTGGATGGAAACATTGTGAATGAAGTCAAATTACTGAGGAAAGAAAGTCGTAATATGAACTCTCGGGTCACTCAACTCTACATGCAACTCTTGCATGAGATAATTCGAAAGCGTGATAACTCACTTGAGCTTTCCCAACTGGAAAACAAAGTCCTTAATGTTACAACAGAAATGTTGAAGATAGCAACAAAATACAAAGAGCTTGAAGTAAAATACGCAGCACTAACTGATCTTGTAAATAACCAGTCTGTGACCATCTCTCTATTGGAAGAGCAGTGCTTGAGAATCTTCTCCCGACAGGACACCCACGGGTCTCCACCTCTCGTTCAAGTGGTGCCACAGCACATTCCCAACAGTCAGTCGTACCCTCCCGTTCTTTTGGGAGGTAATGAGATACAGCGAGATCCAGGTTATCCTAGAGACAGAGATGTAAGACCACCACCTGATCCAGCTACTTCTCCGACAAAAAGTCCTTTCAGAGTTCCACCACTAGCTTTAATTAATGAAGGTGAGTTACCTATCACTGCTTATCTAAGCTGAAATTTATTTCAGAGAAAAACTGTCTCGACTACGTAACTAGAAAGAAGAACAAAACTATCTGGCACAGCTAGTCCTTTCCCTTGATTTTGATTTTCTCCCCCTTGTCCCTCAAAAGCAAGCATTAGGTTTAGGTTTGCCAAATTGTCTAATTCTTAAGCTATTGTTGCATAGGATGAATTTGAGGAAATAGCCGATACTCAGGAATTCAATCCAAAGAATTTATAACTTTCATTCACAAGTTACTGTTTTTCTGTATATTATTATAACTTCAACAGCTGAGTTGGAGTTATGGGAATGAAAACTCAGTTTTAGCATATACTTTCACTTATTTACCACTGTGTCTTTGAAGATGCCTATTAGCTATAGGCTACAGTATTTAGCAACGGTGAATGCAAGGGAGACTAATTCATCTTAAATAACTGAAATTTTTAATAGTTGCCCTTGATAGCTACATATGTACAGAATTCATGTTAGAAGGATCATAATCTTACTCTAAACTGCTTTAAAATCAAAAACTAAAGCCACCAACACAATGCTGCCATGACTCAGTTTTTTAATTGTTTGGTTGAAATACTCAAGAGAGCAAGGTAAGTTTAAATGGGTGATTCAGCGATGACTGATCCAATTAGATGCATCCACCTTCGAAAATTTAAAATGAGTAACCCCATTCTCAGTAATTTGATATCAGTAGGGGAAGTCAAGTCAAATTAATACCATAAATATTATGAAAATATGTTCAGGAGACTATATCACATTCTCACAAGTTGTGCTCTTCAGGTCATTGCATAGATTCATTTAGCACTAGAAATAAAACTAGTGACCAGGAGAAAATTAACTTCTTTCTAAGTTAAACTCCCTGATAGGATACCTGGATGCTATCGTGTTCTCAGGTTCTTAAAAGCTTGACGGAATTATAACCCGTTTTTCTGAATCCTTAAGTTTATCATATTTTTCTCATACGCATACTTTTCAAGTAATCATCTCTGCTCTTGCTTTTGTTAAAAAAAGGCTTTGGCTAAGTAAACTATTTTTCAAATTGCCTTTAGTCATAGTTGGAGATGAAGACAGACTTTGTGACTCTTTTACAACGTTACAAACAACTAGTTGCTGATGTAAAGAGCAACTATTTTTATTCACGGTCTGCCAAAAATTCAGGCACAAGCCCAACTAAAATGCCAGATGTCAGGAGAATTTAGATCACACATCATGACACAAAGGAAACTGCTGAAGTAAAAGCACTATGTTAATGTCTGGTCAGACAGCAAAAATACGATTCTAAAAAACAGCGATTTCCTGTTTCCCAGGAAACCCATTCTTCAGAGTTTTTTTTAAATAAGTCTTTTTCTCTCTTCATATGCGCTTGCGGTACATACAGCGAAGCAACAGCACTACATACTTGCCTCTAAAGTGCCCATCACAGTTTTCACTCCCTCCTCCCCCCATCCTTTAGAAGTTCAGACTTTGCATCCATATTGCAAGGAAACAAAGGAATCTCAGGCAATTTTAAATATTAATAGAGGAAGCTGAATATTGTTAAGTCCTGAATTTTAGTAAGTGTGCTTTTTGCAGTGCCTTCAGAAAATGAGGGTCGAGAATTACTGCAGCTGGCAGAGCAATCATTAAAACAAACAAGTTATCATAAATTGCAAGACAATGCCTAGCTGTTATCTCTGAGATTTGAAATTAAGATAAACATGTTTAATGGAACATAGAAGTGAAATGGTCTATGCTATTGAAAAATGAAGTTTCCAGTTAAAGATAATGACTATTTATAAAGATGCCAAACATCATCAATAAAAAAATCAAACAGATAATCAGATCTTTGGCAATCTTGTTTCTAATAAGGACGGTGACAGAACAAACAATTGGATCAACAATTCAGAGTACTTCTCCTACCATATTTGAAGAAATTTTACCTTACAAATACTTGCACGCACCAGAAGTCTACCGAAGGGTCAACACGCATCTTGAAATTGTGAGTTGGGAGTAAACTTCAAAATATAGGAGGAAAAGAAGGATGAAGTCTTGTTTTAGAAAAAGTATTTTGTTGAATTTGCATAAAAGTTGCTCTAAACACTGAGGAAAAAGCACGCCTGTGAATCTAAATCACTGGAATAACAGGCAGTGTACCAAAATTTTAGTGCCACTATGTTGCAAAACGTAACTATAGGTAAAAAGGGGTCCGTGAAAATTCCACACAAGGAACCTATTCTGTTGCTGGTATATCTCAGCTAACAATGTGCTTCTTTTTAATGCCCAGGTTTATTTTGGAATTTTCCTTTACTGCTGCCCAAAAAAATCCTGCCTATGAAGCTTAAAGTTAACAAGCCTGGTTTCTATACCATCTGCCTAAGATAATCTTTGGAATCTTGAATTAGGATTCAATCATTATTTTACTAAGCTTCTAACTTCAAATATTTCATTACTTTTCCTCTCTGCTAATCTAGTTTATGGTAAAATACGATGTGTACCAAATCATTAGAGGCATAACAATTTTATAAGTGAAATAGTTAACAGATTATCTTCGCAAAGAACCCCTAACTTCCAACTCATTAAAAACCAAAAAGCCACTTCTGCCTCAGGGTCTTAGTGCACAGACAGGGTCTCAGTGCACAGATTAGACATGCATTCGAGATACCTGTTCCTTACATAGTTAACAAAGTTGTTAAGTCGGACCATGTTTAGTTCACTTTTAGATTAAAAAAATCTTAAAGTCATTATAAATTTGGTCCTGAAACACTAATGAAGATAAGTAGTTCTGCAAAGACTCATAAAAGAGCCACGAGTATTAATACTGTTGTCCTTGTGATTATGTGGGGGGGGGGAATACACAACCGCATTCCTGTATCACTTTCTCAGTCTTTTGAAGGCTCGCACAGAAATCTGCCAGGTCGCTTCCTGGGCTGTTATTGTGCAGGCAGGCAGGCAGCGCACTGGTGTGCGCGCTCGCTTGGCGCACACTGATCCTCTGTGGGCTGATAACTCTCCAGTGCACCCTCTCAACTTGGAAACCTGGGACATGACATAAAAGCCACGCTTTCTGATAATACTGCATTTACATATACTCACACAGCAACTACACAAACATTACATATATAATTATAATTTAAATAGGAAAATTACACGGATGTTAAATTCTTTATATTAGCCAGAGAGCGTCCACTCACACCAACATTGTGGGGAGCCTTTCGCAACTGTCAGCGTTTCCCATGAACAAGAATAAAAAGTGGATCAGTTCTTATACCATGAACTTAATACAATGTAATGTAGCAAAAAACTTGCTTTTCAAAAAAAGACTTAAGACTATAAATCAAAAGTAAGAAGAATAAGGAAATCCATCCAATCCCAACTTATGTTCAGCACATAAACAAATCTGAGCATCAAAAAAGCAGACAAGTTACATCCTGTGACCTTAAGGCCAGCTGAATTTTAGAAGTGATCAAAATTAGTTACATAAACGGACTAGTACAATTTTGTCTGCCTCAAAAGCTACTTTAAAATCACTCCAACATCTGCTTGGGTCTCTCTCAAGGAGAAGCAAGTCTACAATTCCTCCTCCAGAGGAAATCATCTGAAATAATGTACAGCAGATCTATTGAGCTAATCTTAATATTCAACATAAAAAAAATTACTTGTCTATTTTCATTCTTTCGAATGCCATAACTACTTTACAATAATACTTCTAGACTGACGCCTCTCTTTAGTTACACAGCATTCAAATTTACTTCAGGTAGCACATGAAAAGAAAATGAGAACTAAGCCCAAGGAACTATGTATTCACTGTATAAGCTCAGCAACGTGGACAGTCTGCATGGAAATTTTAATTATAAACATGAGAAAATGCACTCGTAAACCAAAACTACCATATTGCTTTCCAAAGTTATTATTCCATGCTTGCTTGCACTGCAAGAATGACAAAAAACAACAAATATTGACAGTATAATACACAGCAGTGCTTACAACTGTCTCGGCTCAGTGTCGGCAGCGTTCCCGGGCAGCGCTGCCACGGCCGGGTCTGCGTGGCCATCCTCACGAGGGACACAAGCTTTTTTCACTCTAATGTGAGGTCTTCTAAGGATTTCATGTTAGTTACAGATTTAGGCAACTAGCAAGCACTCCCTCAAAACCTAAAAAAAAGCAAATTGCTAGTCGCTCTTCTCACTGAACCTCAATCCGTGATGAAGGTCACTTTCACTTGACCTCTACTTTAATTAAAGAAGAATCACAGCTGTCATTATGCTTCCCTGCACATTAGCTTCTCTTGTGACCGATAAAGAGTTTTCTCTACACTTTCAAGCAGGTTTAAGAAAATCAGCCTTCAAACGCGTTACACAGTAGGTAATTATTTTCAGATTCAGTGAGTTTGTGTTTTCAAATATATTCAGGGCATCCACCACTAGCAAGCCATCAGAACACACCCTGCTCTTCGTTGCTAAATTACTGATCTCCAGTCAACTGCTTACAATCAACAGAAGTAAGGATAGCTGGTATAAAATCTGTTCTGAAAGGTAGAAAATAAATCAAAAATTTGAAGGGCAGACAAAGCAAACCCAAGATTTTGGGGGTACCAAAGCTGCACGCTTCTCACAGAGCACCTAGA